ACACACACACACACACACACACACACACACGTTAGAGATATACCGATGGTTACCAAGTGGGGGCAAAAAAACGTAAATAAACTTTGACATGATATATTTTCCACTTTTCGGGTACTTCTAGAGTGTTTGTTAGCAAACGGTTAATTTCTATGAACAGATATCTGCATACAGAATCTGTAGGCAACAGGACAAGATCTTGCTATCGTAAGCATTCTGGTTTCCATTTGTGGTCTGAGTGGTATTGACCTGTCACGTTTGAACAGCAGGTAAACAGTCAGTGTAGGGAAGCAGAACGCATTTGCAGAAATGCAATCTTTTAACCCATCAACTATTGTTGGAGTAGCTTTTTAAACTTTATCTGCAAATATAGAGAGTAGCCAAAATTACCACCACACGAAAGAGGAAGTTTTTGCCCAGATATGACTCAGCAGTGGATCTCTCAGAATATTGGCCGTTGCCCCCAGAAGCTTTATCGTCGTCAGAGCCGATGGGTTCTGAGACTGGCAAACAGCTGTCTGTTCACAACTTCAGCAGACAGAATAGCATTTATTTGGAGTTAACGAGGTGGTTGTGACTCAGGAGGTAGACTGTGTCGCACACTCATTGACCTATGGCTAAGCCACGCCCCCTCCACTCACTCAGACAAACTGTCAACATTCAGTGAGCGGCGCTATGGCAGGTGTCACAGTACACGGCATTTCACAGGAGGCAATTGATGATTTTTGGAGACATAACGATCAGATGTCATTGAGAAGTAACCAAAAGGGCCTAAACTACGCTTTGGAGGGATATATTCATCATTTTATTGTTGAGAAGGTCGATGAAAAGCTTAAATTACAAGCCAAAATTTACAGGTCACAGTGTACGCTTGTGAACCGCATCTGGTTGCCGTCACCATCAAAGACAACAAGTTAAAGTGCCACTGAAGTTAAGGTTTTTGGCTCAGAATATGAGAAAAGGATAACGGCCTTTTTACCATCTTTACCAAGAGTGTCTCTCCGTTAGTTTGGTGCTACAGTATTTACACTGAATCATTCAGCATAACGTTTGCCAACCTTTGTTATCTCTGCCATTACAGATAAGTTAATGAAGCTAAGCTCCAGAAGTTAACGTTAGCTTAACTAGAGCCCTTTGGACAACAGCTAACAATGATGTACGATCACCAAAGTACAAAACTAGAACAAAATAGGCTAATGAACTCCCAGCAAACAAGGTGACATGATGAACAACGCAGCTAGGAGCTAACGTTAGGCTAACTTTAGCTAACGTTAGCTAGAGATGTTAAAGATAACTTTATATTTCTTTCCAGCAAAGTGACAATATGTTGCCTCAAACACAATGTTGACTTACCTTAGAACAGATGTAGACATCATTGTTAATCTTATTCACGTTGAGTTGATGTTGTGGTCTAACGTTACCACACAACTTTATCCAAAGCAAAGCAGTGTGGGGATTGATGACTGCAGTTAGAGGGCACTGAAAGGCTCCATAGAAGAGTGATGAACTGCAGAATTAGATGATAGTTCTCTCCATTTGATCCGTTGTTAATGCAAAAATGTCGCTTAGTGCAGCTTTAAAATTTCACTTTGAAAATCGATTTGCATGTCTAACGCCTGTAATACAAAACAAAAGTTAAAAAAAAAAACAGCCCACAAGTTTGCCTTGTGCACATTGCTAATTCATGTGTATGTATGCACACACACACACACACACTCAGGCATGCTCCAAGCACGCAGCATTTAGGTTGGAGTGTATGTCTAATGGAGCGAACAACTTCTCTGATGGTTGTAGCTAAAGGCTAATCGAGGACACACACTCTCTGACACGCACACACTCACCTCGACAAGCACCAACAGCTGACTTGCATTGAGTGGCTGTTTCTCCTCCCATTGCTATATTTGTATTTTTTACCTCTTCATCTTTTTTCAATAGACACATTAAATATCGTTTGTATCTGGTTTTACAGGTTTACTGTATTATTGTATTTATTCAAATGTAAACAAGAAGTGATGCTTTTTATTTGATGTTTTTTCAAGTATTTTTCATCCAGTCCTGACCCGTATTAACACGGTGAAATTCATTATTGCTCTGAGGCAGTGTGTTTGCCCAGTGAAGAGAGCCGCTGTAACTGAATGACTGGAGTTTAAGCCTCCATGTCAGCAGGTCCCACCACAGCGACTTTGAATGCAGCCAGGATGATACATCTACCAGCACCCTGAGGTGTCTGAATTAGTCATTCACACAGAAGCTCCATTCACATAATGAATTCTTCCATAAAGGTTTACAGCAGAAGACAGCCCGCACTGAATTGCTGTGAATCCACACAACCACCGCACAGTTCAGTTCAGCTACAACGCACATGTTATGCAACTGAGTTTGGGGATGTCACGGTGGGGATTAGATGTAAGGTTATCCCAACAAACCGCCACACTAAGAAAATTAAACAACAAACACTGCACCTGCAAAGACATTTAATCTGCACCAGCTGACCCCGTGCTCCAGGCCTCACAGGAGGCAATGTGGCTGCTCGGGTCGCTTTATTATTGTCATGAACAATGGAGCTGGTTTCAGTTCAAAGACAGGCTTAGAGCGAGTTTTTGTTGTTGTTGTTTTTGCTGTGAGTAGTTTCAACTAAATCGCAGCCTGTTTTCCTTTTCCTCTCCTGCAGGTACCTGTTGTGTCTGCAGCTCCGTGAAGATGTGGCTTCTGGACGGCTGCCTTGCTCATTTGTCACTCACGCTCTGCTGGGGTCATACACACTGCAGGTAGAACACACTATATGGATGGATCCAGTGTATGTCTGTGTTTTGTATATCGGTGTATGTGATTTGGCCGCCTCTGTTTGGTTCACAGGCAGAATTCGGTGACTATGAACCCGACCAGCCTCGGCTTCTGGACGTCAGTCAGCTGACCTTTGCACCCAATCAGAACAAAGAGATGGAGGAGAAGATTCTTGAGCTCCACAAATCTCACAGGTCAGAGAGAGAGCAGCAATCAGAAGCAGTCAGAGACAAGTATATCTGTCTTTTCCTTGTCACTGTAAGCTGAATATATGTTTACTTATGTTTGTAACACGTGTAGTGAAGGGACCATAACTGGATCTTTGTCATGTGTCGTATAATTCAAACCTAATGAATTTATGCCATGATACAATTGTTAAAGGGTAACTTTGGTATTTTTCAACCTGGGCCCTTTTATGCCATGGTGTTATGTCTTTCAATCAGACCAGAGTTGGTGATTGTTGGAAAAGTTAAAAGACAAACCACAACAGCTTTTGTGAGTTTAATTTTGTTTGTGTGGGCTTTGAATTAAGCGTGTTTTATTATGATAAAACTGCTGTTTATTTAAATGGAGTCTGGTGGGTTTGGCGATAGTGATTTCAGGGCTGTTTCTGGTTAAACAAAAGGATCTTACTCTTTAACAAAAAGGTCCATCTCTGTAGGGATCCTTTCCATAAGTTGTCAGACCCTTATAATAACAATCTGAGCCTGTCAGTGACAAAAACAAACACTTTTAGTAGACGTAAATTGATGGTGCATAATTGCCCCAGTCTGTTAAATCACAGCCTGTTTTGCCACTGCCAGCTGCAGCGCTCTTAATATTGTACCAGTTTCAAAATATATTGTTCTCATTAGTCAACATGCGAGAATATGGGACAGGTTGAAAAATACTTTAGTTTTCCTTTAATCTGAGTGTGTTTGTAGTAATGTATTTATATTATTGTTTAGGGGAATGACACCAGCACAGGCCGATGCCCAGTTTCTAGAAAATGCCAAGAAGCTGTCCATGTACGGGGTGGACCTGCACCATGCTAAGGTATGAATAAATGAATGAATCCTCTCCTCTTGTTTCCATTGTTGTTGACATCAGGGGATTAGCTCAGTCGCTTTGATGTGGAGAGAGAGAGTGCAGCAGTGTGTGTGCATGTTTGTGTCGCAGCATCTGTGTATCTCTGTGTGTCAGCTGTACAAACACTCAGGGAGGCCATTGCCATGGGAACAGCCAGTCTCTCTCACTGGGATAGCAGGTCATCAGCAGAGTGCGTGCATGTTTCCATGTGCGTCTGAGTATTTTCGTGTCTTTGTGCGAGACGGCAGGAAAAAAAGGGGGAAATATGCACGACAGAGAGAAAGAGGGAGGGAGTCTGGAAATAGAAAGAGAGGATGTGAGATGGAGGATACAGAGAAGACAAAGACATGACGGACAGAGACGAGGTTAGAGTGAGATGGGGACAGATCCTTGAGAGAGAGAAAAGAGGCGAGTCCTCTTTAAGGGCATGCTCCACTTGTTTGCAACACAGAGGGAGAACCAGGGGAAAAGATGAGAGCAGCAGAGAGAGCGCTTCAAATGTTGCAAGTCTTTATTCTGGCATACCAAAGTTGTGGGAATTCAAGGAGCAGATCTATTTCCGTCCTGTGCCATTAATTTGTTGTGCAAGTTTCATGAACCCAAGGCCCACAGAGAAACCCCCGAAATGCTGTTTCATCAGAATCATAGTGGACGAGCACAAATGCACTTTCCTCTGTTTAATAGGAATAAAATTTGACACCATTGAGTTGCTTCAGTAACAAGGTGCTGGCTCATTGTCACACTGAAGGGTTTGCATTTTTCTGGGTTCAACGTTGTGCACTGGCATTAAACAAAAACTTTAAATTGACTGAAAGATAACGGAGATAAACTTTCTTGAGCCTGCACAGGGAAGTGTCACTGCAGCAGAAGCACAAGATGCATAGTATAGATAAAGCATACTGCAGTATACACATATTATGAACATCTACTATGCAAATGACCAAAGAATGCAAATTAAAAGTACTTAATAAAAATACTAAATGTAAATATACACCAGACATATACTGTAACTATAAGGTGTATTGAGACAAAAATAGCCACAAAATCAGTGACAAGACACGGACTAAACTTGAAGTTGAACAAAAGATGCGCTTGAGTGAATGAAGTCGGCCGTTAGGTCAGGTTACGTCAACGTCAGCAGCAAGAAATACTTGTGGCAGCAAAAACAAAGTTACTTGTAATGAATGTGTGTCACAATGCAAAGGGTGGAGTTTAAGATTTAATTCAGTTCTGTTTTTCTAATATTATTCATCACTGTTAACTCAAATACAACCTAGACTGTTACATCATAGCTGCCTTCCTTTATTTTTGCAACTGAATGTTAAACCCGCTCCAAGGAACTTTTAACTGGATATGCAAAAGTCTTGTTTCTGCTGATGTCTGTGCGTGACCTACAACAGCAAATGAGACCATTGGTGTGAAGATAAGCTATTTCTATATAGTGTATATCCATACCTTTAGGAAACTGTCTCCGGGTCCGCCCCAGGTCGCTTCCAGGACGAAACGATTAACGGCACTCAGACGGCACACGTCATCTTACCTAGCTGCTTACATTTATAGTGACTCTTATAAATAGTCTCTATTCCTCCTCCTCGACCCGACGTCCGCGGGGAGTTAAAATAGCAGCAATCATCGGGTAAAAGTTCTGTGAAAGCACTGGACTCACCAACAGTCAGTCACGTCTCAGTCACACGCTGTGTTTACCCCGGTGGCGGTGGCGTTTACGCCGGAGAGGTGGAGCTGGGGCGCGGCAGAGGTGAGCTGGGATCCCCGATAGGAGCGGGGGCAAAGTTTTCCCGTCTTGTTTCATTCATCACCAAAACAAACACATGCGCGAGCCAGGTAAGCATCTTTACGACAATACGCGCTAGATCTCATGGGAAATGTAGGCTTCATTATGGCAAAACACTACCGCTTTTGTCCACAGGGTCACCAAAATCAACTCAAAATGAAAGTTCCTTGTAGGGGCTTTGAGTAATATTAAATATATGAAGAACAGATTGCAGAGCTCGACATTAACTTTTTGAGGCGCCTGTCCTTCAGAAATGTAAATCAGCCTTTCACTTGTCCTGGCACAGAAATCACTTGTAGGGATAAAAAATGACAAATTATGTTTTCTGTTTTGTTTGAGTGGTTTGTTGTCAGGACAGGTCAGCAGCCTCACATCTTTTTTAGGATGGTCAGTGAGCAATCATGTTCTACAGTTGTGCTTTTCATTGATTTTTTGTTATTCCTTCCATCAAGGAGATTATGATTTTGCCTGTTTTGAACAAAATACACACTTTACTAATCGTTATTTTTATAGTCATTTAGAACAGTCGGCAGTTAGAGCTGCACAATTAATCTAATATTGATCACAGTCCTGATTTTGCCTTCCCACAATTAAAAGAACATGATTGATTGTGATACTGACGTTCAAGACGTGTGCTCCTCTTACAGAAAACTGCATGTAAAAATCAAGCGCTTCCTTATCAGCCAGTCTTAACAGCTGCTACGTGTGCACCCTGCTGCAGCAGCCTGGGAAAAACAGACGGGCAAAATGAAAATCATCAGACATCATTGATTGAAGTATTTCAGATGTAGGAGAGAACAACTCATATGTAAAGTGTGCATGTGACTAACAACTAACTTGTTAAACCACCTGAAAAAACACTTGCAGTGTAATGAATGCATGAAAGACAAGAAGAATAACGTCACTAACATCACCGTTATCATTAGTCCCTGTCCAGCGTCAGCAGCAGTGGATACGTATCCGTAGGAGATGCACTGAATTCAGGTGAAGAAGGACAACGTGGAAGTAAAACCAGTGCTTTATTTATTGTTCTTTATTATTGTTTTAAGTGCAATGAAAATATTTTGTCCCAGAAAACGATGATTAATCATGAGAAATAATTCTTATCTCAATATTTATCAAAATAATTGTGATTGTGATTGTGAGCCCTAGCTGCTGCAATCTTAAACACAAACCATGCACTCTTCTCTTATAACGTTAGTTTACAGCGAGTTGAGGGAGGTGTCGATCACTGTAGTGCCTCTCAGCTCAGCAGCTGCGTGTTGGGTGCCTGATGGGTGCCGCCTGCTGCCACTGTTTGTAGCTGAATCTGCTCCCTCCTCTCCAGTTCGTGCTGTTTGTAGTTTAGCTGATATCGAAACGTATTTTGGGTGAGTGTGACTGATTCAGTGAGAGCAGGTCACCATTCTCTAAGTTGGTGCTTGGCTGTGCTGCAGAGCCTGAAGGAACATGGCCGCCACTGTTCCTTTAAGATAAAATGTTTGAACTGCAGGTGGTCTCTGTGAGACGTATCGTCAGGAACAAATGCACTTGTTTCAGTCTATAATCTGAATGTATTGGTTTGATTAATGAGTGGCACATGATGCGAAGATGTTTTTCTTTCTTTGTTTATGACTTGTAACTTGTCAAACTGAGACACAGACTTCCAGAGTGAGTGACTAATGTAATCTCGGCATCAAACCCTTCCTGCTGCAGTCACTGAAGATCCATTGTTCTCTCACAGAAACCACACAAAGCAAGTGTTTTCCCGCTACATCCATCGAGTCAGTGTGTCCAAGCCAAAGTGCTAAAAGGTATCTGCCAGGAGAGCAGATATCGATGAGCGGCTGATAGCATGTCAAGGCCATGTGACATGTTTGTGTGTCCCGCTAAAACTGTCCATTATCAACATGTTGCACGCTCCATTAGTCCAACGGATTTTTCCTGTGTAAATTTGCTACTGTAATCAATACCTCCCTCACCATTACCACATGGCCTTAAAAGCTTGAGTCAGCTGACCATGTTAGAGTTGTACTGAATGACAGCGCCTGTGTGTGTGTGTGTGTGTGTGTGTGTGTGGTAATTGAGTTTCTGTTGACCTTAAGCAGACTACTTTAAAAATCAATTGATGTACAGTATGATGTGATTTAGACAAACAGGCGGAAGCTTCACGGAGATGAATCAATTACGTCATGATAAGGTATGTTGTTATACATTTGAATCTGTTGCAGGACTCTGAGGGCGTGGACATCATGCTGGGTGTGTGCGCCAACGGGCTCCTGGTTTACAAAGACAGGCTTCGGATAAATCGCTTCGCTTGGCCTAAAATACTCAAGATCTCATACAAGAGGAACAACTTCTACATCAAGATCAGACCAGGAGAGGTTTGTGACCAGACACATGCACACACACATACAGGCTGTAGATAATGAGATTTACTCATCATTTTGTGTTTCTTCTGGTAGACGGAGCAGTTTGAGAGCACGGTGGGATTCAAACTCCAGAATCATCGATCTGCCAAAAGGTTGTGGAAAGTCTGCGTGGAGAATCACAGTTTCTTCAGGTAGAACTACACATGTGGACAAAACACCTGCTAACACCCACTGTCTGGCTTTTGTTTTAAAGGGATAGTTCACCCAAAAATGAAAACTCAGCCATTATCTACTCACCCATATGCCGAGGGAGGTTCAGGTGAAGTTTTAGAGTCCTCACATCACTTTCAGAGATCCAAGGGGAGAGGAGGTAGCAACACAACTCCACCTAATGGAGGCTGACGGCGCCCCAGATTCAAACGTCCAAAAACACATCATTGAAACCACAAAATATCTCCATACTGCTCGTCCGTAGTGATCCAAGTGTCCTGAAGCCCCGACATAAAAAGTTGCTTGGAAAAACGTGCACACGTGAGCGCGGTGCCCAGAGAGGCAGTCAGAGCTACAGGCTACATTGAGGCTAAAAACAGAGTTCAAATGAGGTTTTTCTAAACAACTTTTTATGTCGGGGCTTCAGGACACTTGGATCACTACGGACGAGCAGTATGGAGATATTTTGTGGTTTCAATTATGTGTTTTTGGACGTTTGAATCTGGGGTGCCGTCAGCCTCCATTAGGTGGAGTTGTGTTGCTACCTCCTCTCCCCTTGGATCTCTGCAAGTGATGTGAGGACTCTAAAACTTCACCTGAGCCTCCCTCGGCATATGGGTGAGTAGATAATGGCTGATTTTTCATTTTTGGGTGCACTATCCCTTTAAGTAATCACCAAAACATTTTCATTGGCCTCTATGCTGCTTTATTCTTTTCACCCGGTTCACTGGTGCGTTCTTAACAATGGGCAGAGCGAAGCTGGAAGTAGGATAAACGGCAGATCCCTTTTAAAATGATGATGGATCTCTTGGTTAAATACCAGCAGACTGTCAAAACTTCCAGTGCTCAATACTATATTAACACAATCTGTCATAATCCCAGAGCACTCTGTAATGTTTTAAACTCTGTCACATCCTCCTGCTCAGAAGCATCGCTCTTTACATGTGAGGACTTCCTTAATTTTTTTTAGGGAGAATGTTCTTAATATCAGAGCTATTTTTATTCCATCTGTAAATAGTTTGTCCCAGTGGTTCCCAACTGGTCCAGCCACAGGGTCAAGATTTCCCTTCAGTCATCAGTTTAAGGTCCAAACATTTTAATACATTCGGCATCCTACTTGCGTTCAGCCGTGTCGTTGAGCTAGTTTGCTGTCTCTGTCAAGTAGCTGTCCATTAGTCACTCAGTCTACGGCAGGGAGCGGCACTTCAAAATAAAGCTCTGTGCTGGAAGTTTCCTGTATTTCAAAATAAAGTGTGTTTTGTTACAAACTTGACACATACAAGAGTCACTTGCAGTCCATTCAGAATGGACCCGCGACCCACCAGTTGGGAACCACTGGTCTATCCTGTGTGCTTGACTGCTGACAGTGGGAAAGAAGTCTATCATTTATTTTTAGTGGGTTATCCTTGATTTAAAAAACCTGCATATACACGCTAATGTTGGTGGGAAAAGGATGTATGAAGCAAGTGTATGCACATGGTGAGTTTAGAGTAACTGGAACAGCTTGTTAGATAATGTTCAATGCAGGAATGTTTGCTTTATCAGGCTCAACAAAAGGCCGGGTCTCTCTCCTGAAAATATTTGAGCGAGTGTATCTTGTGGTTGTTTAAACAGTCTGACGCCCGGGGCAATACACACACACACACACACACACACACACACACACACACAGAAGATGAACCAGGTGCTCATCACTGCTGCGTTTGTAGTTGCCGCGAGTGTGTGCCGTGTTTGAATGTCTGTGTGCGTAAGAGAAGGGAGGAATAAGCTTTAATATCCTGTTGAGGGAAGAGTTGCCTGGAAACATTTTGGCCTCTCTTGCACATATAGGGTAGCCTCAGCCTGGACCCTACGGGACCCCCAGAATGTTGTCAGACATCTGAGCCCGTCATGCTGAAGTTACCCTTCAAATTTCATTGCAGCACAAGATTTTAAATTCATGCTGCTCTCCCCATGTCCCCATCCTTCTCTCCCTCCCTCTGTCTCTTGTCTGCAGGTTAAACGCACCAGAACCTCCCACCAAGGCCCGCTTCTTGACTCTGGGCTCCAAGTTCCGTTACAGCGGGCGAACCCAGGCCCAGACCCGCTTGGCCAGCTCCCTCATAGACCGACCTGCACCCAGCTTCGAACGCACCTCATCCAAACGTATCAGCCGCAGTCTGGACGGAGGTAACGCACACACACACACACACACACACACACACACACACTCAAGTCACAAAGCGACACAGATAGACAGTATTCCAGCTTCACTCTAAACAATATCTAGGAATAGACAGAAAGATGAGTGGGAGGAATGACTGGCAGATGGGAGCGGGGTCATGGATGGAGGGATTGTGTGTTTTTCAGTGTGTGTTTGGATGTAAAATGCTGGTGTCTGACCAGATACAGGAAATAGCTGCAGCATATGTTTCCTGTCACACAGTGAGAGACAGAGATGGAAAGAAGGAATGCTACGTGTGTCAAAAAGAATAGAGGCCCTCTCAATGAAAGAAATACAGCATGTCGATAACAGTCACTCAGGTCACTTATGTGTCATGACAGGGATGGATGATTGGTAAAAGATCACATTTTATAATTTAACTTGGACTGAAATCTTCCTAATTTCTACATATACAGCTGATATAATGTTTTAAATGAGCCGTCACAGCTTCAGATACATTTTATTGTTCTGGGAAAATCGCCCATACCGTTTATTTGTGGTTTTCCAGATTTAGCTTAAAGATCTGACCTCATGCAGCTGTGCACTGCTGCTTCACATGTGTCAGCTGATTTCACTGTCTCACACTGCCCCCTGCTGGACACATTGTCCCACTGCACGCCAGCATCTTTGTGAATGGGAGACACTACACTCTGACTGTCATTAAAGTCCTTTATTAGTACATGGATAACCAACATGTTTCAACAAGAGAGTCATCAGCGTGTAAAATGCAGTGGAAACAGGTGCAATTTAAGAGTGCATGTGAGGATTATGTGACACAGGTCATGTGATATATTGGTGTAGCCCTACTAGACAAAAAAAACCATCAACAAATTGAAAATGAAATAAATGTATACTGTAAATAATTATATATTTAGTAACAAAGCTTCAATACCAAATGAATAGACAGTAAATAACAGTGAAATAAAATAAGAATTGTTCTATATTGTGATAAACCTGCTCATAAAGTGACAGAAACAAATAAAAAAATAATTTGACAGTATGAATAAAGTTAAACCTGAATATTCAAGTCAAACAATCACGTCTTTTATTATATTACACATTTATTTTCCTGTTTCTTTTCACTAAACTTCTGCTTTACTTAAAGATGAAACCACAGTGTGTGAGATGTTGATCTGACCTTGACCATGTTTGGAAAAAACAACTGAAGGCAACACACACACACAGCAGCTGCCACTTTGTGTTAGATTATGTTTATGTTATTTATCAGTGTTTGTGTTCCTCGTTCCTCAGCACCAGTGATCAGCATAACTGAAGCCACATCTGAGAACGGACGTGAGCCCCACCTGGAGCTCCACTCTGACTCTAAGGTGTGTGTGTATGATGTTTTCATCATGTGTGGATTCATGCATTTGTGTGCACTGAAAGAAAGGACAGACAGAAAGAAAATATATTTTAGGGCTGCACAATATAAAGTTTTTTTTATCATCAGTGCTGTGATTCTTTGAGCGATCCTTTAAGTTCAGTTTGTTCAGTAAAAGAATGTTGGAAATAATTTCCTTTAATTTTTTTATTCACCCTTTGTTGTATTTTGGCAGCATACAGAGAGCAGCAGAGCTGAGTGTCCCTTAGTTTCTTTTTATTTATCGCAGGTAACATCCTCATCATGATATTAGACATTATTGCATATTAGATATTTTCCTCCTCTTGTGCAGCCCTAATAGAAGACTAATGTTAGACACCAAATCTTTTCCTTTGTTGCTGTCATTATACTATAGCTAGGAGTCCATATTGTCCAACTGAAACTGTTTATATGTTTGTGCTTTGAAGAGAGAGACAAACAACATTACAACATTTTTCCTGTGTGGGCTTGTACAACTTGTATTGTAACATGTGTTAAACATGTGAGGAACCATGCAGCACTTTCACTGGGGGCATCTGAAGTTGTACACGTGACGACAAACGTTTAATAAGGACAAACTTTTATCTGGTCACTACTGAGGCTTTAAATCACCCATACATGTAGATGATGAGAGTCATATGCTGATATGGTTTCTGTTTTCACAGGGTCATTTAGATACTTAACTTTGCCTCCTGTAGAACAAGGAGGCTTCTCACTGCTCCGCTTTAAGCTGTCATTATGCGTGTGAGTGAACGAGGGGACAGAGACCAACAAGGCTGACGGAGAAAGTTTCACATCTTCATTTAATGCTCACAGGATTAATATGATTATCTTCAGTTTAATGATTTCCACTGGATCTTAAAGGCTAACTTTTGGGTTTTTCAACCTGGACCATATTTCCCCCTGTGTTTGTGTCCAAGGGACTGATGGAAACAACAATGTTTGAAACTGGTCCAGTGTTGACAGAGAGCGCTTCAGCCAGCTGCTGCAAAAGAGGCTGCAATGAAACCACTCTGGGCATTTGTGCATTGTAATTTTATGACACTAAAGGTGCTTGTTTTGCCACTGACAGGCTCAGATTGTTAAAGTATGTGAAAGTATTATGGAAAGGATCCCTACAGAGATAAACCTTTTTGTTAAAGAGTAAGATCATTATTGTTTAACCAGCAACAGCCGACATCTCTAAATAAACAGTAATTTTATCATCGTAAAACACACTTATTTCACACTAACAAAAACCATCATGATTCGTCTTTCCATTGTCTTAACAATCATCCACTCTGGTTTGGTTGTTTAAGTTTAAGCTAAGGGTGCTGTCACACCTGCCCTGTTTGGTTCGGTTCGATCGAACTCAAGTTCGTTTGCCCCCTCAGTGCGGTTCATTTGTGCAGGTGTGAACACAGCAAAACAATTACACCGAGACCTTCTTGAAGAGGTGGTCTCAGTCCGGTTCCAAAGGAACTCTGGTGCGGTTGGTTTGTGGTGAGAAGGTGTTCCGACCTGGATGTGAAGCAACTGCAGTCACATGACACATTGTTTGGGTTAAACATGAGCATGTTACAGTCCTGGAGGATTATTAATGTGCACCTCCTCCTGTACTGCCTTAATATGCACATTCAGCACATCCAATGCATCAAAACATTGTTTTCTAGTTGGAGCCGCGCCTCGTTTTCAAACTGTATGTTTTGACTAAAATGAACAATGACAGCAATATAGTCCACGATGAGCAGCTCTAAAATCAACCTGCGTAGTTGTCCCTCCATTGTGACATTAGAAAGTGTCACATTTATCTTGCAAGTGTACTCTTCTTCAACGTTTGCTTTACTTCCTGGATTTTTCCCACATGGAAATTCTGACCAATCAATAGCAGCTTTCTCACACAAGGCATTTGATCTGGTCCTCTTGTAAATGCTGCCGTGAGAACACGAACCAACTCTAGGCAATTATACAACTTTGGAACAACATGAGTCCCTGATTCAGACCAGAGGAGACCACTCTAGGGCTGACAGCAGCCTTAAATTACTGTTTGTTTAAATGGAGTATGTTGATGGCAAACAGCTCTATCTCTGCAAGGATCCTTTCCATAATGTTGTCAGACACTTAATAACAATCTGAGCCTGTCAGTGGCCAAAACAAACACTTTTAGTGGATGTACATTGATGTTGCACAAATGCCCCAAGCGATTACATTGCAGCCTGATCTTCCACTGTCTTCTGCAGCGCTCTCTCTCAGTACTGGACCATTTTCAAACAGTGTTGTGTCCATCAGTCACTCAGACAAAAACACGGGAAAAAAGGCCCCAGGTTGAAAAATACCTCAGTTACCCTAGAGCAGCTATTATAGGCAGGTCTATGTGATTTGACATTGACTCAACATCTGGCACACCGTCCTGTACCACAGCAGGACTTCGGCCACTGTTGAGTACACATATAGTGTTACAGTACAGTTCTGCATGCCTCCTGTTCCGACCATTCTCCCCACTTACCCTTTTCTCCTCCGCCCCCTCGCTCACACCCCGGCACTGTGGAACTGACCTCTTTGTCTTAGCCTTCGTCCAGTCGTGGCACCCTGCACACAGCTGTTACTCTGCACTGTGCTCAAACCCTGCTATGTTCACTTTTAACCTATTTTTGCTGTGTTGTTCACTGACTAATGTACTGTCTCTTTCCCTCTCTCCTTGTTCATTCACACACTGTTTTGGTTTTATCACTTCCCTCTGGCATGCTGTCATGTTCGTCATCATTTCATGACAAAATGAAATGATGTGTTTTTAATGCACATTGTGTCGGTTCTTTTATGTTTAACTTGTTTAACTTCCTCACTGCTTGCTGCTTCACTTTGTGGATGTGCACGTGTCTCCTTTCTTTTGCCACCTACTCTGTCACCTGTGTTTTCGTGTCCCTCCTTTTCCTTCTTCTTCTCTCCTCGTGTGTGCTCTTCTCTCCTGCTATCCACCTCCATCAGTCAATCTTCATGTTCCCTCTCTCCTTCTCCTCATCATCCTCCCTCTCCTCCATCCCCCCTTCCCTCGACACTATCTCCGAGCTTGACCACGGCCTGTCAGACATTTCTGAAGACGACGACCTCAACGACGACGCGAGCGCATCACACGCGCTGTGGGCCCTTCCCTCAAACACCTTGTCTCTATTCTCCGATCAGCAGCCAGCTGACCTTGAACACCTCGCACAAAGCTCTCCAGCCTCCTCCCCGATCACAAGCTCCCAAACATGCAGCTCGGAGGCGTACGGGGTGGAGGAGGGCAGCCAGGCTGAAACCACAGCAAAAGCTGGGGTGCCAAATTGGTGGAGCTGCTTCTCTCTGAGGGGTGTGGTTAAATACGTTTCTTTTATCCTGTGTTTCCTCTCCATCTGGGGGAAGAATGGAAACAGGTGTCTGCCCACAAAACTATTTTCAGGATTATCAAAGAAGCTGAGCTTTTTCACTCCCACTGTGTCCAAGCTCACGTCCAAGTCAGTATTGCCAGTCGTTGCCTCTGAATGCATCGTTAGATCCAGATTATGTCACATTCTTAACAGTTTGGCATCAAAACTGACTTGTTCTGTGGCATTTGTTCAGAGCCATCTGCCCACTAAAGCTCTCAGTTTGGTTCCTGCTGTTGTTCGGCACCCAACACAACTACATTTGCCCCCGCTTCCTTCTCTTGCCCGTCCCCAAATCGTCTCTTCCTTTTCCTCTCTGTCCTCTCTGCCCTCGTATCTCCGTTCAGTCCCATCTGGCTCCTCCCTCTCTTTCTCCAACCTTGCTCCGTCCGTACATCGCTACCTCCTAAATCCCTCCCCTCTGTTGCTGCCCTGCCTGCTGGTCACCTTCCTGTTAGCCGTGATGCTGACAGCGAGCCAGTCCTTGGTCTTAGCCCTGATTTTAGCCACACCCCTCGGCCTCACCCTGTGTTACCTGGAGAACAGGGTCTCCAGCCAGCGTAAGGCAGTTTTGCCGATGTTTATCAAAGAGAAGGATCAGTATGAGGGTCAGTTAAGCTCTCCTCTCACGCCGACACACACACCTCCACGCATCAGGCACCACACTCAGACTAGCGCTACGTGGACGCTTGAGGTGTGCGATCCTGCTGCATAAATACCCCCCCCCCCCCATTTTACCTGCTTTATGTTTCAATCTGTAAACTGTGTGTCTGTATGTTCAGTCCCCCACCACCACCACCACCTTGTGTTTTCTTTCGGTGCACCACCCTGCATCCTGCCAGCCCCACTGTATCGTTTATAAGAAGTATTAAAACTCAAAGAGTTTATAAAGGATTAACAAATAGAGAAAATATTATTATATTGTTAATATAGAGGGAAGATTTTAGGCATATAAGTGATTTAAATTCTGTACAGAGACTGTTAGGGAAGGAATAGATGACATGTAGTGATGAGCAGAACCGCTTGATGTCTTTGAAATGCTCAACATTAGTCATCATGCTCATAAAGGAATCCCCTTTGTGTTTGACACTCATCAAACTAAAGCAAATTTATTTTTAATGACATTTTCAGTTGCTGCTTTTTGTTTTCACAGTGCAGACGGATTAGTCATACGCTAGATGTTATAACTGTATATACAGATAGATAAACTAACCCCTCGACCCCGCAGCACTCAAAGTGTTTTTGTTTGTATATTAAAGCTAATGAATGTTAAGAGTAAACAGTGTTACACTGACCCTGATCCCTGAGGTCCAGGACTCCCTCCTCAACCTCTGTCTGTTGTTCGCTTAGTTGGAGTTAGAATTTAACTTTTGTACTTTTGTGGTGGCCTTTGGCGTTTTCCTGTGGACGCAGATGGATCAGAGATGTGATGAAAAGACAGGCTGAAAGAATACTGGCATATTCTGCTCATTGCTAGAGTCACTATGACACTGACTGCGTTCACATGCACAAACAATTCTGGTTTTTGACCTTATTCTGAAAAAGACAATACAATACTGGAATTTCTGTCTTTGATACAGCACCTTGAAACATATCGATATTTGATATTAAATTATATTAAAATTAAAAGATGTATGTAACAAGACCAATACATGAAAACGATGATAACACTAATTCCTCCTAAGCTTTTACACGACTAATGAAACTGAATATTTCACTAATATTCCTGTTGACATGCATTAACGTGCACAACATGCAGTTTATCACGGCAAAATATGGAAAATCAGAAGCCTGAAGCTGCTTGTCATTTTGCTTCTTTTTATTCTCTCCCTCACACAGACACACACTTCAAATGCATAAAAACATAATGCAGACACCTAAGCCAAAAAAATGAAATAAAAAATAAAAATCATCTTTTTACTTCTGGTTCATGAACTGGAGTTGTCTCCTCTTGTGTGGGCTCAGTGACATGGGACACTCTCTTTAATGCCACATTGTCCTTAGAATACTCTAACAAACACACTCATCAGTCCCTCCAGGATCTCGCAGCAAAAAAACCTTGAATTTGCAGCCAATTTTCTCAAAAATCACATAAAAATTGCTGCATTTTTATGTGATTTTTTGTTTTTGCGGTAAATTGCAGCTAATGACAAAAGGAGAAAAAAATGTGTCTAAAACCTGAATAATATTGGCATGTCTTATCAGAAAATGCTACATCCAGATTAAGGTTTTGGAATATCCAAACTGAATATGTTGTTTACATGACCTGTATCACATTCAGAATACTGTCACATCTTACTATATAATGAGGAAAACTCTGTGTGTGTCTGTTCCATGTTTTTCTCCTCACTGACTTGGTCAATCCATGTGAAATTTGGCACAGTGGTAGAGGGTCATGGGAGGATGCCAATGAAGCAATATTACATCAATTGGCCAAAGGGGGCGCTATAGCAACCCATTGAAATGTCAAACTTTGAATGGCCATATCTCATGCCCCGTATGTTGTAGAGACATGAAACTTTGCACAGAGATGCCTCTCCTCATGAGGAACACATTTGCCTCAAGAACCCATAACTTCCGCTTATATAGATTTTCGCCATTTTGAATTTTTTGAAAAACACTTCAAATGGATCTCTTCCTAGGAAGTTTGAGCGATCTGCATGAAACTGGGTGAACATAATCTAGGGACCAATATCTAAAGTTCCCTCTTGGCAAAAGTTGGAAAACTTACTAAAACTGAGCTTCTATAAGGCAATGAATATTGCTGAGGGCGTGGCTCATCACATAAAGGTGTATAACATCTCAAGGGTTTCACCCATCACCACGCAACTTTGTAGGCATATGACCACACATAATCTGAGGGGACCCCTCCATTATTGACCCCATCAAACAAAATGGGGGCGCTAGAGAGCTCATTTCTTATCTAGGCCTAACCGCCATATGGATTTTTACTAAACTTGGTAGATATGTAGAACAGGACGCCTCAAGGTGACTGGAGAAATTTAACTCTAATTGGCAACTGGGTGGCGCTATAACAACAGAAAAATGCTTCAAAATGGCTAAAATGCGACCGATCGCTGTGGCTCCCCCTGTGGACCAATGTTGGTGTTGTTTCTAATGTTTGGTATGACTAAGTCATGGTATGGTATGCTGTACATAATCACGGAAACTGTCAGTGTGTCATTCTGTCAGTCAGTCATTCTGTCTGTCCCACGTTTTTCTACTCACTGACGTGGTCAATCTATGTGAAACTGCACATAGGTATTGAGGACTGGCATAGGTAGAAGGTGACAAAGCTACCAATGGGTATGGACTAGTTTGGAATAATATTGGAATATTAAGTGTGCATGTAAACGCAGTCAATACTAAAATGAAATCTGGCTACTGGTGGAAAACATCGAAGCAACCAGAGAATAGTTTTTCATAATCTTATCTGAATGAAACGTAGCACTCCTTTACAGGAGCTATAGCAGTGCTAGCATTGTACTTGTTGTAGATACGGTGGATCTGACTTGGGTTTAGACATGATCTGAACACAGTGTGCTGTACATAAAAAGTTGTTTAGGGAAAACGTAAATGTTCATGTATCATATGATGGAAATATACTTTGACACAGACTGTGAAACTTATTTTATGTAGGATGAGTAGCTCAGTCAGTAGCACCTGTTGCCTCCCTTTATCAACCCTCTCAGACGCTGTCAGAGGTCACATGACCAGTAGAGCTCCCCGACACCATGGGGGGAGAAACCAGCTTTTCCCATCATCCATTTCACATTTTTCTTTCTTCATTCCCCCTAACCTTCCTCATTTTATCATGACTGCCATCGCCAATGACATTGAAGGTTAAGGAGGTGGACTTAAGCCCTGGTGATGCTGAAGCCACGCCCACCCAGGTCTGTCTTTACCCAGCATGCTTTGCAAATACTCAGGACAATAATGTAGGTTACTGGTGGTTTTAGATGTAGAATGGAAATGGTTTCATGGTGTAGTGGAGCTCACATGCAGTAACCCTAACCTGTCCTTACTCTCTCCCTGACTTCACCCCTGTCAGCAGTCACCTGGAGCCAGTGAGCTCGCCCCCTCTCAGGTTCACACACAGCTATTGGTTTTATTTGTCTCTCATCTGCTCGGCACGCGTTGGTTTGGTTTGTTGGTGTCACTGTTTTAGGGTGAAGCTGCCCTAACATCATGGTACAGAGTCAGTTTCTCCTACAGACCCAATCTGGAATTTGTACAGACAAAATAAAAAATCAGAATATTTACACTGATGATATAAAGTTAGAGATGTGTCTATATTAATACCTTTTGTTTTCAGATTGGGTCTGAGTCTAAAAACTGATCCCGAGCGGGCACTTTCACCCAAAATCCTCACTTTGGGTTGCTCTGGTGTGGAGAATGGTTTCACAGTTTCAGTTTGGTTTCTGGTTCATGTCTGTGGTTTATCAGTATTTTGGGGTTTGGCTGAGAGCACACTGGGGTTTGTTGCTTTGTGTAAATGTGTGTTGGTGTTGCTGTGGGTTTGTGTCAACATGGGTACGAGTGCTGGCGTCATTACATTCAATGAATAATACCAACATGTTAATATGTGCTTGTACCCATCCTCCAGCCTTCATCACAGTTTGAGACGTGTTGGCTGTGTAACCACATTTTCTTTTCTTTTTTTTTCTTATATATATCATTTATTATTATTATTAAATGTAATGGTTATTTTCTTCCAGCTTTTCTTTTATTTATTTTGTAGAGTTAAAACCAAATACACACATTTTATTTTATTTATTTCCATTTTTAAAATTAATTTTCACCGTTTTATTTTTTGCTGTATGTCTGCCTTCCAGAGTCCAATGAGAGTGCATGGGGACAATATTTATGTGAGGCACAGTAATTTAATGTTGGAGGTTGGTACTGGCGTCGTCTGATGGCCGACTATAAGAACTACATGTTTTCCGTGTACTCTGACGCCATCAGAACTACAACTTCCTCTGTACTGTTACTGTTACTGTTACAAGACTGCTGCCCTCTCGCACTCTCAGGCTCTGTTGCATGCCTGCGTGTGATCATGTGTGTGGATGTTTGCATATCGAGTTACACTCAATTCTTGCTGTTTCCTTTTTTATAGCGTGATTGAAAATGTTTTGGTGCTAAATGGTTTCAGTGCTGATCGTTCATTTTCACATGGCAGCCATTTGGAACACACAAGCTCGGAAATGTGACTGAGGATGTTGTCGTAAATTATCTGTAGTTGCACTCAGCAGTGTTGTAGCAGAGCCAAATCTTTCCCTCAGGAATTGGTGGAGACGAGATTGAGTAGTGCGCTTTGATTTGTCTGGTGGCCAGGAACATGGGCACGTCTTGTACCAAAAGGAACCCGTGATATTTTCCTGTGCTGCATCTCTGAAATGCCAAATATTTATCAGATGTGTATCTGGCTACGCTGGAGTACAGTGGAGACTTTCTGTCCCAGTGAATTTCCCAAGCTGAGTGTTCTCAATGGCTGCTTTGTGAACAGGCGCGTCAGCCGTGTGTGAACTTTTGTGCATGCTCTGTGCATGTTGAATGCTGTTCTGTGACCTTTATTGAAAAAAAAACAAAATCTTGTTCTCCTTGATTGATGAAAGAGTTTGATGATCGCCAGGCAGCTGCGTCTAACCTGACTAACCCTGCCTCTCTAACACATGTGAGAAGCTCTCCTCCTGTTTTCTGGTGATTGGCTGCCAGCGTCGAGTGATGCGTGGTTTCGTTAACACACTAAAACAACAACAGTATGCAGCGTGGGGCTGATAGTGATGCCACTTGATATGTGTAGTCTGTCTAGTGTGTAGTATTTTAAAGCAGAAGACTAAAAACATATTTTCTTTATGACACACAATAAGTTTATTTCAAGAGGAAAATTCTCCTTTATTTGTGGTCCAGTCAATTTACAAGGAAAATGTTGATCCACCTCCTCTATTAATAAACTATATTTAATTGTATCCTATTATGTTTGTGACAGAAAGACAGAAAATGGCAGAGACGAGAAAGAAAAAGTGTTTAAAGGGGACCTGTTATGCTCATTATGTTCACTTGTATTTAAGGTTTCTACTTTAACATGTTTACACACTTCAGTGGTCAAAAAATACTTCACAGTGAAACTTGTATTAGTAGCCCGGGCTATATGCTTCAATCACTGAACTCAGCAGGCCTGTATTTGGGACAGGCCTTTAATTCCTTCCACGCAAAACTGTTGCTCAGCAAAGATGGTAAATAAAATCAAATTGTTTATTTGAACCAGTCTGAATATTACTTGTATAAAAATTAGGCTTCAGATAATATAGCAATTATGAATCATTCATTTGATCTAGCTCCAACAGATCAGAAGGAGAGTGAGTTACAGCACCCAGCATACCAACACCACTTTCTCCTCTTAAAACAATCCTCACAACTTAGATTCATTTCTATGAAAAACACTTTTGATTCTTTTGAGCTGAGGACCCTGACAGACTGAAGGAATATGAATAACTTACAGGGTAATCGAGGAATGGACACATAACTTGAGGTTGCAAACAACCCACTTTTATACATCCCAAGAACTTCTATAAAAATAAATAAACTGCTTGGCAACCAGACCAGGCCTCTGATTGAGACAGGCCTTTATTTGTGTAGCCACACCGGGCTAGTAAAAGGGACTGGGTAATTAACTGAGGCTTAACTTTTGTTTTAAGTTTTACAGTATTTTCCTCACCTTCCTAAAGTGCTCTTTTAAAGGCCTGTCTCTTTAAGCACCCAGTCAGGTTTTATTTCCTCGCCCCTGTAGCGAGTGAATCTGCCTGTAGTGAAACCGGGGCTAACCGGTGCTTCCTCCTCAGGCTCCACTTCACTCAGCTGCCCCACAGACCCGCTGCTTCTTCACACTTTAACCTGAATAACAAACCGGAGCTAGCTGGGAGCGGCTAGCGGAGCGTTAGCCGCAGCATGACCGGAGGGAAGCACAGCCAGTTAGCCTCCGCTAGTCTCTGAGCTAGCCCCGGCTCTCCGTTTGGATCCAACCGGAGCACCGAGCCCTGGTTTGTTATTCAGGTTAAAGTGGGAAGAAGCAGCGGGTTTATCGGGCAGCTGAGTGAAGTGGAGCCTGAGGAGGAAACACCGGGACCGTCTGGATGTAATAGTCCGTGGAGGTGCTGCGGTGCTCGGCTGCACAGATAGGAAACCCCTCGGCTGACAGGATGTACCAGTCTCTCACCTCGCTCTCTCTCACGCAGGCGCAGAACGTACGTGCTACTTGGCTGTCGGATGTAGTCCGTGTAGTGTGTTCAAATGCAGCTGACACAGGGCGACGTGAGGCGACGTAGACGACGCAACAGTTGGCTTTCGTCGCCGCTAGTTCTATTTTTCTAATATTAAAAATCACCAAAAAAGCTGCTAAACACAACCAAACACGATTCAAAATCTGAGACATTAACGACATCAGCACAAGATTAGATATTTTCCTGATGTTAGCATGTAGCCTAATGTAGTAGGGTAGGCTACGTAATGTAAACGCTTAAAGAAGCGTGCCTGGAGCAGATGACCATATAAAGAAATTCATCACGATGTGACATCAGCTTGTCTCAAAAGTAGAAAAAACCCCACTGGAAATAAAGAACAGTCTGCAGCCTGAAGTTTCCCTGCAGAGGTTAGTTTTACATGCATTTACCTCATTTTTGGAAACTTTGGCCATGTTGATATGAACATCCAACACTGTGACATTATATAAATGACAGAAATAAGGAAAAGCATAACAGGTCTCCTTTAAACAGTCTCATGGGAATCCAGTGAAGGTGGAAGTAAAGAGATGATCAGCACTATCAGCTCCATGTTCTGCAGTCTGCACAGCTGCTCCTGGCCTGATTTTAAGGAAGAACTCCCCAACAAGATGGAGCGGCCCTGTTTCACTGCAGCCTGCTTTGAAATACTCAAATTCACACACACGTATTTTAACAAAATTTAGGATGTTAGATCCTTTAAACAAGGCTCCAGTGAGGCATGGCATCCATCTTGGTTTCCTCCCGATTGACAGACTAATGTTCCTGTGTTGAACCGAATTTTCCCCTTCCTCCCTCCTCCCCTCTCTCCTTTTGTCCTCCCTCTTTCCTTCTTCCTCCCTCTTTTCCATATTCCTTCTCCCATTACATTTCACCTCACCCTGCCATCCTTTACTTACCCTTTTTTTCCACCTAATCCTCCCTCCATTATCATTTTTCTCACTCTGTCATCCTATTTCCTTTCCATCTCTTCTCCCCTCAAATCTCCTTCCCACCTCTGCCCTTCATCCCTCATTTATCCATACTCATCTCATTTACTCTCCACCTTCCTCTTTACCCCGCCCTCCCCCGTCTTCCCCTCCCCTCCCTCATCAGGACCATGATAAGACCCAAGAAGACGTTCTCAAACACCAAGCTAGCATTAGCCAGCTTAAACGCTCCTTTATGGAGGCGCCACCTCCCTCTCCTCCTCAACCCAACCAGTGGGAGAAACGTCTCACCTCCTCTCCCGCTACAACGATACGTATCCAACAGCAACAGCAAGTGGTACGTCTGTCTGGATGTTTCTGTGTCAGAAAAGAAGCATGAGGCTTTTTTTGTGAGCTGTCTTTGCAGATAATTGCAGGTGCTTCAGAAACTGTGTCACACAATTAGTTGCAAAGAAACAAGAATGTGGTTCTGGTAGAATGACGTGTCATCACGTGTGTGTGCAAGACCTCTCTGTCTGATGCTTTTGCTGTGGTGGTATTTTCATGACCTGTTGTGTGTAGATCACTTACAGCTCCATGGACTGTGTGGGGTTTCTCTCTTCTGTAGGAGCTGCTCCACTTTCTTATCCTTTTCCAGCTGGACTCACATCACATTTTATCACATGCATTTTCCAGCAGTGCAAGGGTTTGATTCTGTTTTCTCTACGATGCAATGCTCTGCTAGTTTCTCATCTGTTAAACAAATCTGTTTCATTCTGTTGTGGTTTATATAATCATTACAAGACGTAAAGATGCAAGCATGGCTGCTCTCTGTAGAACTTCTGCTGTACTTCCTGTGTGTCTGTTTTTATGTCTTGTGTTAATGCTGTGTTTTGGGATTTCTTTTCTCTCTGTTGTCTCTCAAATGTCATCTTTCTCTTCCTCTCTGTGTCCTGTGTTTGTATGTACTTGTGTGTGTGTTGCTGTAGAGCCTTGAAGAGGAGATAGCTTCTGTACTTTTCAGTAGACACTCTGGCACTGGCTTTTGTTCAGCTGCATCTCCCTGCAGTGCTCCCGAACCAACGCTAGATGCTGATATAACCACATCTACTCCTACTGCTTCCACTGCTGTCTCCAGGGCCGCTGCTACACACGGGCTTCTTTTTTCCCCAGCTGCTACCCTCTCTGCTATCGAGGTGCTGCTGCTGAACATTTAGGAGTCTGTTTACTTTCGGTTCAGTCGTTGGAAGTAAATACAGACGTCCTGCAATGGCTCAGTTAATTAAAGATGTTTGCCAGATGTGTTCGCACACTGCACTAAAGAGATGCTGTGGATGCTGGATTAATGGTAGTAATTTCTATCAGGAGGCATTCATCCTGAATAATGGGCATGGTAAATCTAAGCTAAAACAACTAACAGCTGTGAATGCAATGAGTGTTGGGACGTCCTCTGTTGGTTTTGTGATGGTAATTATGTGTGTGGATTGAATGCACATGAACCAGTTTTTACCAGCTCCTTCAGGAAAAAATAAACGGTAAAAAGCAGCAAGTATTGAAGCAGCAGTTTGTGCACAACACTTAATCAAAACACAGAGGGAAGCCATTATGTGTTGACTTTTGTTAAAGATGCCAGGTTCACACTACAAGACTTTAGCCCTGGTTTTCCACTTGCCGACAGTTTTTAGAGCTCCTCGATAAAAGCCCCAGATTAGAGATAAGGACTTTGAGGACTTTGTTGGCAAACTACAGCCAATAAGAGTGCAAGACAAAGGTTGAGGACAGAGATGCATTGCTGTAGCTGCAGTGCTTTCCCAAGGTCTTTATACTCAGAGACTGCGCTATAGTGACGCTACGAAGTCCCTTCTTTACAGTGTCTTTGTATTTTCACACAGAACCAGACAATGGCAACGTCATTCCGCTCCTGTGTGTAATTTTAGATAGCGTGCTGACTTTGCGTAATCAAAAGAGGCGTGACATGTAACAACTGGTTGGCCTCTATAATGACATATAACATATGCGTCAGCAGTAATATTGATCATTTACCGTCTGCTGAATGGTGGCTGATCTTGTCCTTTGCTTGTGGGGGAAGAAGCTCTTGGACCTTATTGTTTTCCCGATTTGCTGACTTTTTGGCAGCTGTGCTTTTTCTTTGAGTTAGCCGCTAACTAATACAAGCTACTTTGTAAATCTCCTTCCGTGGGTTGCACGCATAGCTTGTCGTTAAAACATCACACCCATGCTGCCCATGATCCCGTCCCGCTGGCTGTCCCGTATATACAGACGTTGTTGTGTTGTAGTTACTAGCTCCCATCCCGACTCAGCCTCATTCTGCAGTCACACTTTTTATACAGAACTGTGAGGCGGAATAATGGCACCAATTTCCTGCCTTAAACAAGCAGTGTAAAAGGGGCTAAAGTGATTGACAGGAAGATAGGGTGGAAGGTGGACTATTGCACGCAATGTTTCTCTAAGTTATTTGCCTAATGCTGCCTTGTCACTTTTTGATTTTGATATTTTCTAGTAAGCACTTACCGGGCCCCGGGTTGGGTCGACCTATGCATCACATAACATAGGCTACTCGTCAGGTGTTCCTCCTGGTTGAAGGTCTTGTAGTGTGTGACGCCCTGTCATTGGTCAGTCAAACCACAGTGACTTCAAGTCTCCTGATTACAAGACAGACAGTTGTGTAGTATCAACAGTGCAAAAGTCATGTAGTGTGAATTCAGCTTTATCTTCTCAAATGGCACACAAGACATTTTAAAGTCTGTGAACTTGTGTCACTATGGTGCCCCGTGTTTTCTGTGATCATAGAAATCTCTAAGAAACTGCTGACTTCAATGTTTCTTTTATCTTCATCTTCTAAGATGAGCGTCTGTGTTAATTGATGGGATATTCTCTTTAATCCATCTTCCATGGATCCCTTTTTGTTGTCTATTCTTCTGTCAACTCTTCCATCTCGTCTCTCTTCCTGCCTGCTACAGTGATCTTGAAACTGAGTGGAATTTAACTTGCATGAAAGACGGTCCACCAGGGACCGAGAGGGAGGTCCAATTAACACTCAGCCCTTTCCCTTTGTCCTGTCATAACGAGCATCACAGTATCGCAAAGGTGACGTTTAGTGCTAACAATGATGATGTCACTGCTTGTGTGTGATTGACGGTTGTCATGGTAACTTCTCTGTCATGCAGGAGAGCGCGCCCCAAACGGAAGCAGCTGCTGCCGATAACACGATCTCTGATACCAAAGAACCTGCAAAGGTGGTCCTAACTTTTTCTTTATTAATCCATCCAGCCTTCCCTCCATGACGCTTTTCATCCATCGTTTCCTTCATACCTCCATATTCCCCCCTGGCAGCTTCACATGTCATCCTGCAGCCATCCATTCTTTGACTATTCATTTGTGATCCTACTTGTTCCGCTCACTCTCTTACATCTTTGTCCACAGTTGACCATCTTCATCTTATTTTAGTCCTGATTTCTATTCATTTATTAAGTTTTTATTTATGTTCAATGATCATGTTATGCTTCTTTTTTTTTGTCCCCATGCGTTTGTCGTGTATGTGTGTGCACCTCATTGCGTGTGTCTGTGCACTACGTGTACATGTGTGCGTGTGTATGTGTGTGTGTGTGTAGACAACCGAAGTTGAAATCGAGGAAACTGTTGTCGTCCAAGAGGTTTCTGTAGCACCCAAACCTGGACTTGTCACGGTCACAGCCAGCTCCCCTGCTGGCCCACCCGCAGAGCAGGAAACAAGAGAGCAGGAAGTGACGGTTGCAGAGGAAGTAGTGGTAGCGGAGGAAGGGAAAGCGGCGAAGCAGGAGAGCATTTCATCCGAGAGTGAGAGTGAAGAGGAAGCAGAGTACCATCCAAATGTGTCCGTATCCATCTGCCACACAAAAATACCAGAGGAGAAGGAAGAGGAGGAAGAGCAGGAGGAGAAAGAGGAGGGTAAGACGGCGGAGCAGGACATGACAGCTCCAGACGCTCCTTCCCTTCCAGCTGAAATCAGCCAACCTGTAGAGGCAACCAGTCTAGAGGCAGAGGAGTCCAGGAAAGAGGAGGCAGAGAAGAAGGAGAGCACAGAGGAGAAGAAAGAAGCTGAAAGGGAGATGGAGGAAAGCACAGATGATCCAATGGTGACACCTGAGGAAGCTCCTAATGGTCACACCCTGCCTGAGGAGAGCGTCACCAGCACGGTTGCCCCTGCAGAGGAAGAGGAAGAGCCTAAAATGAACGGAGAGGCTTCTCTGGTTGAAGCAGAGCCACGGCCGCAGGTTATTTGTTGCTCTGAGGTAAAGTCTTCACTGGGCCGACTGCGGAGCTTCCCCAGGGCTTTGATCCTCCTACCAACTGTAGAAACACCCACCTTTATTTTTCCTCTTCCTGCTTACCACAGTGCCGGTTTCCTTCCTGCTTGCGTGAATATTTAAGCCCCATGTACATCCTCACACTCATGTTTGTCCTGCAAATGTCTTTTAAACCTAAAATGAAAGAAATGCAGTTAAAGGCTAAGTTCTGTGTGTTTCAACCTGGACCCTTTTTTCCCATGTTTTTGTATCTAAGTGACTAATGGGAGCAACAGTTTTGGAAACTGGTCCAGTAGCGAGAACGCTGCACCCAACAGCGGCGAAACAGGCTACACTTTAGCCACTCGGGGGCATTTGTGCATCATCAGTTTACGTCCTCTGCAAGTGCTCGTTTTTGCCACTGACAGGCTCAGATTATTATTTTAAGTGTCTGACAACTTATGGAAAGGATCCCTACAGGGATAGACCTTTTTGTTTAACGAGAAACATCATTGTCTGTTCCACCAGACTCCATTTAAATAAACAGTCATTTAAGTGTGTATAGAGGCAACAAATTGTCACATCTAACTGAATGAATTAAGGGTTTATTTCAACCAAATCAGAGTTGGTGATTTTTGGAACAAGACAGTGTTTTTAAGACAGTGTTTTTAAGTTTTATTTTGTTTCTGGCGACTTTGAATGAAGTGTTTTTCACAGATTTTAAATGACTGATTATTTGAATGGGGCCTGGTGGGTTTGTTAGTAGCAATTTTGGGGCTGTTTCAGGTTAAACAAAATGAATCGTACTCTGTAACACAGAGCTCTATCTCTGTTGGGATCCTTTCATAATCTTGTTAGACAGCTATAATGACATCTGAGCCTGTCAGTGGCAAAAACAAGCGGCCCTCTTGCTCAGTACTGGACCAGTTTCAAAAACTGTTGTCTCGCTTCGTCATTTAGACACAAAACATGAGAAATAGCGTCCAGGTTGAAAAATACTGAACCTACCATTTTAAACAGACTGAGGAGTTCATTCATCACAAGTGTTTTGGCGTTGGTGTCAAGTTACCATCCACTACACACTTCATTTCAGTCTTTATGTTGATTTATTTACCACATTCATATACTTTAATTTCTGTGTTATCGTTATACCTCGTACCATCATCAACATGCCTCCTACAGTGCATCGTATGTTAGTGTTGTGAAGTAAATGGGGCCTAAGTGGGAACTGCACAATGCTTTTAGGTGTATATTTGCTTTTTGCTCTGCATGCCGTTTTTCACCTTTGGTGTGTGTGTGTGTGTGTTTGCGTGTCCTCCACGTGTTTGGCAGTGATGCTTCTCTTCCTGTTAGTGTTTAATTGGCTCGTCACGGTCACCATGGTAGCGGTATTGTGGAAATCATCATTGCCAACCACATCGGAAATGCCACCCCAAGCTTATCTGAATGTCATCTTTGCATGCTGTTTACATATCAATGGCCGTCCTGTTTGCCACCTCGTCTGCGTGTTTCATGGGCTCATATTTTATGCATGTTTGTGCCGTGTCGTATTTTGAGTTGCATGTTGGCGCCAAAGATGTTTTTGTAGTTGTGCTGCTGTTGTAGCTGTCGCTGCTGAAAGTAGTTGTGCTCTGGACTTTGGAGTTTGGAAGCTCTTGATTATTTTTGCATGAATTTTGCTGCATGTGTTGTGTTTGTTTTATGCATGTGTATTTACTGCATGTGTGCCACTGTGTGTGGAACGACCTAATCACTTCCCTTTCAATACAATATGGAGCACACATTTGCAAAAACAGCCATAAATGGATTGACTCGGAAGTGACTTTCCAAAGCTAGAAAACATAGATTATCTTTGTTTCCTTAACTGTCTCTGGTTTAATGTATTAACCCTCCCCCCTCACTTCTCTCTCTCGTCCCTCCCCAGCCACCTGTGGTAAAGACAGAAATGGTGACTATATCAGACACGTTTGCAGCCCAGAAAACTGAGATAGCTACAAAAGAAGTGCCCATCGTACATACGGAAACCAAGACCATCACATACGAAGCTGCACAGGTGCACACTTAAAAAAAAACAGGGAGCTTTTTTGTGTATTTTGTCCTTCAGTGTGTCAACATTCATATTGTATTTGTGTGAAACATTTAGATCTTATTATGTTTGTATTTGAAATCATGTCCCAAATAAGTTTCCTTTCTAGAAACAGAGCATGCCGCCCGTTATTTCATTCCTTCTTCCTCAGGGAGTTCATGTTTTTCATACGTGACAAAAGTTTATTGTGAGCATCAAACATCCAGCGGGGATATTCTGATTGTAATGTACAGCTAATGATTTCTCTTCATCTGCTCTGTTATCAGTTGGATGGTAACGGCGATGGCGAGCCTGGAGTGTTGATGACTGCTCAGACAATCACCTCTGAATCTCTGTGTACTACCACAACCACACACATTACCAAGGTACACACACAAACACACACGTGTTAAGACGTTACATTACCCCCCCCCACCACCACCATTTTAATGTGATGTAACTAATGTAAAATCTGTGCAAACAAGAACATATTTGCTTTTTGAAATTACATTGGTACAAGTATTGCACATTTTCTGCCATAGCAGCTGTGCCTACAGTATCATGGTGCCCTACTGCAGTGTTTGTGCTTTGTTCAGGTGTGCAGAGGTGCACTCTTCTGTCATTTGACCTTTTCTTGTCGTGTTTTTCTCGCCCTATTTGCACAGGAGCAGTGTTTCCTGGGGACCTCCATCATTTTATAATCATTTTGGAGGTCGTCTGTAGTCTTAAGACCTTTGCACACTGAGTCAGTTTCTCTCATCTGAAATAAATACGACCTCAAAGTGTGTCAGTCACATTTGCACACAGAGTCTGAAACTTTGGTCCTTCATATAAAATTTTGATTTTCTGCGTGTGCGATGTTTGACCAAGGATCAGTAAAGAAAATGTGGTGTCGGGACAAAGCCGCAAAGACAGAGGAAGGGCACAGGTTGTGATGACAACCTGATAGGTAACTCCAGTGGAGAGAGACAAAGGAGCAAATGTGTCTTTTCATTTTGTCACATATTGCGAACTAATAGAACAATAAAACGCATCAGAATCAGTGTGCAGGGTTTCTGTGCATTATGATTTTTGATTTGACTCAGTGTGCAAAGGCCTTTAAAATGTCTTTAAAGGCATTGAGATCATCGATTCAAATATAAAGCCGTAATTGGTATTTAAATGTCATGAGAAAGACACGAGAAGTAGAATTTTATGAATCATATTTTCTGATGTTGCATTGTCAAATCTCAAAATATTAGGTGACTTTTTTTTTCTTTTCAGAAAGTACTGTGCCAAATGCCTTACATCAGTGTCACACAGATTAGGATAGCAGAACTAACAACACTGGTTGTTTTCACATGTTTTGTTTTCTAGCTAGCGAGCTGGACATCAGACAGGTAGAAGGCAATACATATGAGGCTCAGTATATTCTATGCAGGAAGTTTTTCAAACTTTGCCAGATGGTAATCAAGTCAGTGGAATCTCACATGGAGACTGAGAAACACAAAGTCGTCAACAAATGTCAGGAATTTTACAACAAAGTCATGTTTTATGTTGCAATAAACATCTGGGCAGAACTGTCCCTGACCTGAAGTAATTAATGCCACTTCCTGTGTGTTTCCTTCTATTTTAGTTATTTTAAAATTGGTCTGAAATCTAATCCTGGGCGGCATCAGAAGTCTTAAGTCTAACTTTCCTTAAGATGTAGAAACCCTGTTCCTTCGCCTTTTTTCTGCCTCTTCAGTGGTCGAGAATTGCGGAGGCTGTGTTGGCGATTATTATAAACGAAACTTCTGAGAACATTTTGGGTGCAGTAGGCTCATCTGGCTTCACAGCATGGTCACCCATTCTCAGCAAGCATCAGAAGAGCAAAATCTCAAAAGATGCTGAGATAGATGTCATGTGACAGTGTGTGGCAGAATCAGTCCTGATCTGATTCCTGAGAGGTTAACACTGCATCGTTGCTAATGGTGCTGTGTCGTGTTTCTGTCTTGTGTAGAGCGGATTTACAAATGACTCTGCGCATCATATTTAGGGAATAATGTCAGTAAATTAAAGTAAAATGCAGACTTGGCTCATGCCCTGTCACAGCATGACACAGACATGGGAGTGTGATTTCTAAATCACGAGGTCCCCGGGTGATATGCATAAGACTTTATCTGCTTTGACACTTAACGACAACATTAGCCACTCAGCTGGATCCCATCAGCTCCCAGACGAGCCTTGATAGCTCATAATTAATCAGTTAAAAGAGGCATCAAAGCTTTGTTGCTGTGGATTCTGTTGCAGACGTTAAAGGGCGGCCTATCAGAGACAAGGATCGAGAAACGTATCGTCATCACCGGGGACTGTGACATCGACCACGACCAGGTCAGTTTTCCACTCACACAGGGTTCCCCGACACCTTGTTTGGTATTACAGCAGCTTTGTTGACGGGTGGCTTTATTCTGACCAACTGCAGCTGGTGTGAGAGGCTCTCCACTTATCATTTTGCAGATGTGTAAACCAGATGCACACGTCCAGATTTTGCACCTTTTACTTTTTGTTTTCAGAATTGAAAAACAGTTTTTAAAGAACTGAATGAGTTAGCCGCTAACGAGTACTGACAGCTAGACTTTAAGGGAACACATAGACATCAGTTGACATGTCTATCATGTTGCTCTCAGTCTAAATGCACAATTAGATTCATTAATCATTTACTAGAGATGTCCATTAGTCAGATTCCACTCATTGGCTGTCATCTGTCTCTGCACTTATTCATCCACACGTCTAGAAAATGGTGTCTCAACCTTTTTGTTTTTGCCACGCTGTGTCTGATTTTTGTTGCTCGTCTATTAGTTAAATTTTCTGTCTTTGTCTTTGATTGTCAGATTTCCCCAGTGCCAAAAATAAATAAATTGTTTGACAGATGTGACGAACACCAAAGCTACGCTGAGCAGATCACGTCTGATTAAGAGCAGTCCAGGTGTATTTGGGCAAAGACAGTGACATTTTTTTATTTGTCTGTACAAAAATCTTTGGATTTTGAATGGAAAAATAACCATGAGCTTAAAGTACAGACTCAACTGTACATCCTTATGAGCTCCCATAAGACTAGCAAACAATTAGTCCCCAAATTTTGGAGGAACAAAATTGGACCATTCTGCAGGCCTGTGTTCTAACCATCTTCACATGGCTCTAAAATTAGAGGAGTAATTATAACTTAGTGCACAATTTCTCCACTTTTCACAAACAATGAACACAATATAACATGTCTTATTGTCCATATACAGACTGCACTGGTTAAGAAATAAGATTTATAAACCCTGGCCTACAGTTACATCTTGTCGCAAGACCTGATGAAAATACATTTAATGACAGATATTTGAAAGTGATGGGTGACTCTTTCTAATGGGTGGAGGAAATTTGGTGTCATCATTAGGGATGTCAGTTTTGGTTCATTTGGTCCGTTAACCAGTAACTAACAAGTTCATTTGTAAGAAGAACAAAAGCAAAATGACGTGAAATATGCGAGGCGTTGACTAGGCCTATCACAATAACAAATGTTGCTGGGTGATTAATTGTGTCATAAATTATTACAATAAGTGATAATATTGCGTAATATTGTGCTTTTAAGACCATTTTTATTATTGTTGTAGTTTTGCTGTTTTTAGTTCATTTTTTAAACTTATATAATGATAATAAAGACATATTGATGCAAGTTTTAAAGAGAAATAAACATTTATTTAACAAGAATATTTAGGAATGCAAAAAAGAAAATTTAAATATCATAAAATTTAAAACACGGCACACCGGCTCGTCCAAATTACCGGGCTCCCCTCTGTCATTGGTTTAAATCCAAAACACTCCCACACAGGGGCCGTGGTGTTTGGGTTAGGGACAAGTTCCCTGTCTTTCTCTGACGCTCAACTCTCTTGTTTTTTTTCCGCCTCGTCTCCCCCTCACGAAGATCGCAGTGTGTGTGTGTGTGTGTGCGTGCGTGTGTGTGTGTAGCCCATAGCCCCGCCTCCCCCACAGAGACAAAGACACTCGATGACAAGAGCTTTCCCTCCGTTCATTACGCCAATGAACCAACTCACCTGGCTGCCAGACGATGCACGGCAGTGAACGCTCTTGTCGTCCAGTCTCTTTGGTGGAGAGACAAACACGCATGAATATGGCAATTAATCACGGCCGGAAAAGTTGCCGTCTCCCTTTTAATTTACCATGCAATTAACCGACTTATCGTCGTCCCATCTTTTACTTTGCTGGTTCTGCTGACAGACAGCCAACCAGCTGCGTTAACATGCAGAAACATAGAGTCCACTGTCCACCCTCCGTTAGCCTTGGCCGCCCTGCACCGTGCACTTGTGGGCAGGAGCTAGCTAGTGGCACTGCTCATTTGGTTATTACCAATGTTAATATTGTCCTGACCCGGGGTGGTAAGACAGTGTTGCTGTGGAAACTTGCAGGCCACCCAGGTTGCCCTGGTGACTCAGGGGCCGTACACATGCCACGTCTTTAACCGCCTGGGAAACGTGAGGGCAGACGCCGGCTGCTACTTTGGTGCCTTTTTTGAGCCAGCTTTCAAGAGTGCGGTGGCAGGTTGCGGTAGCTAAGCAACCTTAACAAGCCCCTTAAGTGGCTTAATTTTGAGCCACAAAATCCCTTTAGTGTTGTTAACTGTGTTAGCACTAATAGCCATGCCAGCACTGTTTTTTTTTTTTTTTTTTTAAGATATTTTTTAGGGGGAGAGAGAGAGAGGGAGAGACATGCAGCACAGGGCCACAGGCTGGAGTCGAACCCGGGCCGCTGCGGCAACAGCCTTGTACATGGGGCGCCTGCTCTATCCACTAAGCCACCAACGCCCCAATGCCGACACTGTTAACTGTGTTAACATAGCTAACAGTAGTTAACAATGCTAAAGGGGTTTTGCGGCCTAAAAATAAGCCGCTTACTCCCTGGAGCTATAGAGCGGAGGGTGGGCACAGTGATCCACAGCAGTGCCACTATGTGGCTGGAATGGCATTAGCTGTATTCACCAAATGAGCAGCGATGCTGGCTAGCTAGCTCCTGGGTGCTAACAGTGCAGGGTAGCAGTGGCTAGCTAACCAATGTAGTGTAAAAACCTTAAGGCTTTATAGTGGTACATCATAGTGCTAATGCTGCTACTAAACTGAAGAGTAACTAGATTCATTTACACACCGACATGCGTAACCAGTCAAGATTTGGTTAACTGCTGACGTCCCGAGTCAAACTCCATCAAACACCCTCAAAATATTTCAAATATTTGACAAAGAAAAATCTATTTTGCTCAGGTCCTGATGGTTCTGCACGATCCCTCGTCCACTGGTTTATTTGAGTTGCCTGTCTGCTTTGATTCGCTGGATTTACATTTATTTTGAGTTGGAAATGGGATTCATTTGTAATAATTCTTTTTCCACTTGATGTCTCTGAAGCCATTTTACTTCATCCATTCAGTTAACCCCAAGAAGTAAAATAGCAGAAGTCACATTGATCGTAAATCCAGCATTCTTGTCATTTTCTTTATGCTTCTTATTTAATTTTTCATTTTAACTCCACCATGTCCCCCCCTCCTCTCCTCCCTCCCTCCCTCCCTCCCTCCACTGCCCGCCGTGCTCGGTGCTGCCACTGTGTGGTTGCCCCTTGGTACTGCAGGCACTGGCCCAGGCCATAAAGGAGGCCAAAGAGCAACATCCTGACATGTCTGTTACCAGAGTGGTGGTTCATAAAGAAACTGAACTGGCTGAGGAGGAGGATTGACTGAACTCAGGTAATAATAATAATAGTAACTCATTATTATTATTATTATTCGTCATGGTGAAAGTAATGTTGGAGGTCTTGATTGCACACAGTGGTTTATTTACTGAGGACAAAAAGAGATGGAACAAAAAACCTCCCACACATGAATCTGCTAAAACCATCAGCCGTCATGCGAAAAAGAGTTGAAGGATGAGAAAGGGACATTAGATTTAGGAAGGTAGGCAGTGACTGATGGAGTACAAGGCAAATATTTTGAGTAGCAAAACCAATGTTGAGTGCCAGTCATCACAGCGCTCAGGCTGACTGCCTGCACCTCTTTTTTCCCAGAGCTGAAGAGCCCATCGTGAGTGTTATTTCTGTTGAACGACCTCCATCACCCTACGACAACCGACCTTGACTGACTGAAGACGAGAGGAGCTGAAAGCAGAAGGAGAAGAAGGGGAGAAAGGGGGGAGCAGACAGATGAAGAGAAGTTGCCAATCTCTTCCCAGTCGGTTTTTTTCTTACATGTCTGTGGTGTGTTTAAATCCCTCACTCCAAAACCAAGTAAAGAAAAACATCCTCGTATTTCCGCGGGGACAAAAAAGAACCACTTTGTTAGCTTAACATTTGTAGCGTGTTTTTATTTTTTAATAGTGCTTTTTTTTTTTTCTTTTAACTGTTTTACAAAAAGAGAGATAGTGTGTATGTCACATATTGAAAACGTAAAAGCTGCGGGATGCACTGATAACCACTCCTGATGAGATACAAGGCTGAAAATGATGATTATTGCACTGATTATTTCACCAGTAGCAGTGACCTTCAGTAACTATTCACTTACTCACGAGTCAGAGTAAAGATAGATAAAAAGATAACGACCATCTTAAATAGAGAACGCTTTTTATCTTCATCTTTTTTTGTAAAATAACGCTGAGATTTTCATATTTTTTGTTCTGTATCAGCAGAGGGGAAGTGGTATTGGTGCATTCCTAAAAAAAAATTAATAAAAAAAAAGTGATTTGTTAAATTACAGCTCCCTCACTTCGTTATGGAGAAATAATATAACACAGTAATTTCAATTTTTTTACAGTAACGAGTAGGACTGCAGAAACCAGGAGGACACAACCTCTTTATGTTTTTTACTTTTTCAAAGTGTAACAAAATGAAACAGTCTTACTCATTAAACACGTTCACATCAGATGAATGGGAGCCATGTCACATGATCACGTTATGTTACTAAACAATGACAGAACACAGGGAGCTGTAACTTAAAATATTGCAGTAAAAAAAAAAACAATCAACCAGGTTTTTGAATTTTTATGATCTGTCTTTTTTTTCTGTAAGTATAGTTATGATTCATCCACATTCCTTGTGTGTTGACCGGCGGCTGAGTGAGATCATTTTCAGTTCACTTCACTTTGTACTCAACTCTGAGAAGAAAAGACTGTTCACCCTTTACAGTCGGTGGGAACGGAAGGAATCTTTATTGGATCACATTAACTAAGCAGGAGAAGCCAAACGATGCAGGTGAATATAATTCCTAGTGTTTCACTGTATTTTAGAATTCACTTTTACTAAATGGACTGAAAATGAGCTGACTTTAAAGCTGGTGTATACAACTCTCTGTACAGTAAAGATGAAGGTTATTAGATGGGAGCAGTAATGCAGCTTGTCGTTAGCTAAGCGCTCTCCCTGGGCCCGCCCACTGTACGACACTAGCCATTCCTGTTGGGTCACAGGGAAGTAAGGGAGCAGTAAACTGACCTTTGATTGGGAGAGAGGACCAGTAAACTGGAGGATGATTGGGAGATATCGGCGGCACTGTGTGGTGCCAACTAACACCTTTGGGAGTTAAAAAAGAATTGATGCATGTTGGCCTCACTCTACGGCAAGTTTCACTCACGTTATTTTGCATTCGGCAGCGAGTTAAAGCTGTTTTAATATTCTTAGGACAATACTTAAAGGGTAAGTTTGGTGTTTTTCAACCTTGACTCTTTCCTCCCTTGTTTTTGTGTCTAAGTGACGAATGGAGACGGAGAGGTTTGAGATTGGTCCAGTGTTGAGCGAGAGGGCTGCTGTTGGCAGCTGCAAACAGGTTGCAATGTAACAACATGGGGCAACTGTGCGCTGTCAATGTACGTCCACTAAAATTGCTTGCTTTTGCCGCTCACAGGCACAGATTGTTATTCTGACAACTTATGGAAAGGATCCCCACAGAGATAGAGCTTTTTGTTAAAGCATAAACAGCCCCAAGAATCACTCAAGCCAAACCCACCAGACTCCATTCAGATAAACATTCTAGTGTTAATCACGTTAGCATGTTCTCACATCTAACTGGGAGAATGAAGGGTTTATTTCAGCCAAACCAGACAAACCAAGACAGGTTTAGAGAGTTTTATTTTGTATCTGTCGACTTAAGCTGAAGACACACTGAGGCACGGCGCCCCCTAACTCACACCGGACACATTGCACTGCAACTTGTTAACAGACTGCTACACAAAGTTAATTCTGCTGAAAGATCTGTGCCTCTTTCACCTCTGCGTTAGCTTTAAATCACGTGTGGAGACCCCCGAATTAAACTTGATTTCTCACTGAAGAGCGATGGAGTGATGACTCACCAGGCAATATCTTTTTGGCCACTGCCTTTAAAATGATGGGATCATGGGTCGTTTAGTTGGGGATATTTCTCAACCTCAACAATCAGTCTCTCGTCATCTAGTCTTTGTCCCACAGGAGACAGCAGAGAGTTCTCTTTATGAATCGATGGTGTGGAGACAAGTCGAGCTGCCGTAGGAGCAGAGAAAAAGAGCTGCAACAGGAGCCGGTACATACAAGCCGAGAGTGAGTGGGGAAAAATGCTTTTAATTCTGGGGTTGGCGAGGCTGGAAACAGGACAGTGGCGGCGTGTCCAGAAGCGCTGACAGGTGTCTAGCCGCCGTTAGTGTGGGGTGCATTGAAAATAATAGGGGCATAGTTGTTGATGCATGGCGTTCACTGTCGGTGTGTTTTGGCCTTTAGAGTAAAGTGTGTTTCACGATGATGAAATGACTGTTTATTAAAATGGAGTCTTTTGGGGGTTAGTGATGATGATTACAGGTTGAACTGAAATGATCTTACACTTCAGCATAAAGCTCTATCTCTGTAGGGATCCTTTCCATAAGTTGTCAGACACTAATAATCTGAGCCTGTCAGTGGCAAAACAAGCACTTTCAGTGGACATGAATTGACGGTGCACAATTGCCCCAAGCGATTACATTGCAGCCTGATTTGCCGCTGTCTGCTGCAGTGCTCTCACTCAACACTGGACCAGTTTCAAAAGCTGTTGTCTCCATTCGTCACTCAGGCACAATAGCATGGAAAAAAAGCTCAGATTGAAAAATACCAAACGTACCCTTTAACACACAATCTGCAATTGAAGCACAGGCACCAAAATGAGGACATACAGTCGGAACAAGTTGAAAAACAGTTCTGTCCCATATTCATAACAACGGAGTTTCTACCAGTTTGCTAACTCTGCATCAGAGCCTGTTTGTCGTCATAGCTCAGCACTTAGTTTCACTCCCAGCTTCTTTTCTCATACCAGAGTAGATAATGAGAACAACCCTGTTAGATAGAATGAGATCTGGGAATAAATTCAGCATGGTTCACACATTTTTTATCTTGAGCGAGTCTAGATGGAAGGCTACTGTGTTGATTGGTTTGAGAGTGTGTAGATAAGAGATGATTTGGGCTCATACAGTACGTCTAGAGGAGATAATCTTTGACCTGATGCTGGCTGCGTTGTAACTGTTTCACCGCAACCAAATCTTATCAGCATTAAATTGATTTTTTTATGTTTTTGAGCTGTTTCAAAATACATTGTATTCCACTCTATTTTAACAGAAAGCAGGAACATGAATCTGCCAGTGAACTACGAACAGACATGGAAACAGTTACAACACAACAGCCAAATGCAGCTGAAAGGGAAGCGTGTCTGAGGGTTTGAAGTGCTCTTGAAACCCCTAAATGGAATCTCGTGATGTTTTATTCATTGTTTCGGTGTCCTTTTACCCAAATGTTCCACAAAAATGTGACTTTGTGTAAATATTGGTGGCATTAAACGGGTTAGAACAAGAACGCATTTTAGTCAACACAGATTTTCAGTGTGAGCTGTGAAAACAAGAACACGGTCTGTTGAGATTGAACAGATTGTGAGTGAAGAAGTGCCACAGATTGATGATAAAAAACATTCCACCTGTACCTGCCTAGATTTGTCTTAACCCTCCAGTCTGACTGGACCTGAATGCGGATTTAATTGGAGTCATTTATTAACATACAATCTCCACATTTAAAATACGTGCCTCTTAATTTATCGCCAGTTTAGGACTTCCTGTCTGGCCTGAGGCACGTCCAGATGATGGAGCGGTATCGACCGTCTAGGCTTTTTATTGGGAAACACTGGTCTGACCTCTACTATGCAGTTAAATGACATTCCAGACGAGAGGAAAGAAAGCTTTAACCTCTAACCCTCTTGCAAAGCAGCAGAAAAACTTTAACAGATAAAACAGTGCAACACTTGGCAGCTTTGGAAGCTTTTGCTGTTCCAAAAAAAAAGACAAAAAAACAACTTTTAAAAACCATATTTGTAGATTTTCTCAGCATTTGTCGTCTTTTCTCTGTGAAACTGATCAAGTCGTTGAAAGGTGGGATTTATTGTGCGCCCTCTTGGATATTTGTAATATTGTCACAGTGTTTTTGACATTGAAGGAACCACCACTATAAAGCAAATTTTTCTGCCACCATTTCTTTTTTGTACTTTCGGCCCCCCTGTGTTTTCCGGGGGGTCTGGGCTCTGTTTTAACCAATCACAGGAGCTTTGGGGCGCTGCCAGGTCTGGTTTTCCAAAAATGTCGGTAGCACAAAATTTTATTTGAGGTTAATCCTAAAGTGCGATCACACAGGAACGTCTCGCCATCACTAACTTTGATTAAAATTGAAAAAAACAGCACAGATAAAATGTTGGAAGCTCTGTTACCATGACAACGTAAACATTCTAAATGGGCCTCCTTTGTATTTCCTGTTGTGATGTTTGTTGTTTCAGTAGCTGACAGGAAGTAAACAGAGACCAAAGTGGTTGCCACAGCAACGGAACAGCAACTGATGATGATTCTACGCCAGCTGATTTTAAGACTGTCAGGGATGTCAACACCACAGAGGGCGAACACCATCAATATACTGCCGTTAAATCTAATTAACATGTAGCTGTTTGAAAATACAGATAATAATTTGACTGGTTTCTTCACAGTTGTGTCTCAGGCTTTGCAGCACAGATGAGTGACAGTTGATACCAGCACCTTTTTGTACTTTGACACCGACAGAAACTTTGTAAAGGAACATTTTTGGAAAACCGACCCCAGCTGCCTCTTCGCTCCGTCTTTAGCCAACCAATGATCACTGGTAGGGTTTTTCTATCTAGCAGCTTAACTGTCTTGTGTCTCTCCCCACACACAGCCACTCCTCCCCCGTGTAACACTGTTTAAATAAAGGATTGTTATACTCTGACATGTCTCGGACACATCATTTCTTTATCCATTTATTGGTTCATTTAAAAAACTAACCAGTCTCCAGTATTGTTGCACAGACAGTCTAATAATGAAACTTAGAGCTGTGCAAAAATGATAATTTCAGGGTGACAGTTTCTCAAATTTAACAAGAGGGTGGAAAATAAATACAGCTCCAAGAGATGCCTGTAGCTTCATAATGATGTCAGAAGGTTAGAGACAGTCGTCTTAATAACTTCCAGATTTCCCTGAGGGTTTTAAACAAGAATTTTCACAGATTTTATTATAACTAAGGATTTTAGTTACTTGTTAAGGCACCTTCATCCTGCCTGGGATATGTCCACGCTGGTCACTTGTCTCTGCACAGATACCCACGCTGACTGACAGCACTGTTTGAAACAGTCAGACGAAAGTTCATTTCAGCAGGTTTTGAGAGTCTGTTGTGTTGATGAAGTGTGTGTCTGCTGTCAGGTGTGAGAGTGCAACCCAGCACTCCTTCTCCTCTGCTCTGTACTTCTGTGTATCTGCCTGTAGATGGCGTCTCTGTCTTGTGGAAACCCAGAAAGATCTGCCTCAACTGTGGATGAGAGGAAAGAAAGTCCAGATGAATGATTGAAACGAGTGGTTCTTAACCTTTTCATGTAGAGGAGCCCTGAATGATTCAGTCACAGACCCCCGTTTGATCAGAATCTGCACCAAGAACCTCCATTTGAAAAGATTTGGCTTGTTGGATGTAATTAAGACCAGAAGTTGAGGAGATAACTATGGAGGAACTGAAACCTAGTATCAGCACAGTCACTTGTGACTCTTACCTACATTAGACTCATTCTATGGTGAATTAAAAGGTGAGAATAAACTATTCCCCTTGAGCTCCCACAAGGACCCCTGAGGGTCCACGGCCCCTGGTTGAGAGCAACCAGTCTAGATAAATGGAGCACAAAATGCAAATTACACACAAGCAACATGGAAGTATGAAATGCTTCATAACTCTAGCTATAATTCAGCTGTTTTCCTTTATATGTTGCATTTTTACCAGTTAATTTAAACAGTAATAAATAACTGATTAGCTAGTGTTTAGGTGGTGATTGATTTTAGGACTGTGAAGCTGTTTAACCCGAGGAAAATATAACAATTATTATTTCAATTTATTTTAATAATTTCTATTTTTCTAATGCCTCAGGTCACAACGTGTCAAACAGTCTGTGTGTTTTTCTGTGAAACCAACAGACCTGCTAGTGATCCTCATGTACTGCAGCTGGTGAGTGAATTCAAATATCTTTGTTAAGAAAACCTGTATAAAGGTACGATTCAATCTTGCAACTTTGCGACTCAGAAATCACGTGTGTGTGCAGACGCTGCCAAGATGTTTCTACACTCATCTGAATAACAAGACGCTCACAGGCTCAACACCATAACATGCTGACACCACTGGAATCATTACACAAACAAGCACTTTAAACAACAGAACACAACACACTTCCATCAGTGCTCAATTCTAAATAAGAAAAAGAAAGAGTCAGATTTTAAGTTGGGATGAGTCAAATAATGAAATATGCAAACTTTATATGTTTGATACACAAAGTCTGTCGTGACCACTTGTAGCTGATATCAGCAGAAGAACAAACATTAATCTGAACTAGACGAGACTGAACTGTTTGATTGAAGATCCAGTCAGCCTGGTCTGCAGAGGTTCAGTCAGAGGACTGAACACTTGCACATCTCTCAGTTATCAATAAACGATGGATGATTAATACAAACACGTGTAAACAATGAACTACTGATTATGTGTCCTGCATGTTTTGCAGTGTTCTACATGTGTCACTGCTGACAACAGGTGAAAAACAGCCTCTTTGCTAATTCTGGCCTTTTTACACCACGTGTGTTTATTAATTATTAATTAGCACTGTCCCTGAAACTGAACTTTCTGCGCATGCGCATGAACAATCAATGGCGTCCCCCTCGTCCTCGTCCTCACCATTGGTGGAGGTGACAGGTGTGACAGGTGTGACAGCAGGTAAAAATATCACACAGTTTAACTTAAAAACAAAAGTAACGTCACACACATTAAACTGAACATGAATATTTTCCACCTGAAAGCGAGAAGCAGGAGCTCGCGTTAGCTAACAAGCTAGTTCAAAATGTAACGCCGTGTTAGCAGATAGCTACTTTGCTAACATTTAAGCTAACGTTAGCTCTAAACATGTAACCACCACAGTTAGCGTTACTGAATTAACAGTTTGCTTCTGTCCCGTTGTTTTTAACGATAAGAGTCTGTGTCACCTGCTAACGTTAGCATTACTGGATTAGCCTTCGTCACACATGACATTAAGCTAATTTAAGAAAAAGGTCTCTGGCAGTGCCTTCACGTGCTCCTATTGTCTGAACATGTATCTGCTACTGTCAGTGCACCCTGTTGTGTTGTCTTGTATAGTGTTATACTGCATTGATATTGTATTGATAACACAGGGTGTCTACAGGTGCTTAACATGTCAGTGTTACAACAGTGAGGCCTTAAAAGTCATTAAAAAGTCTTAAATTTGATTTTTGATTTTTACAGATTTTGACTGTAAACATTTGATTTTATTTCGTTTATGCATTTTTAAATTTCTTTTTGTGAAAATAAGTGAAGCCTTTCTGTGTAACAGTCCACATTTCTAATGTTACGAATCATTAAATAACTATAATACTGTCACTTTACTTCTTACTTGCACTCACCTGTTGGCAAAATTAGAGATGTACCGATACCACTTTTTCCTTCCTGATACCGATTCTGATCCCTGAACCTTAGGTATCTGCTGATACCGAGTACCGATCCAATACCAGCACGTAAAATAAAAATGGATGGGATATGAATTGTTGTATGTCTCAACTCCTAAAACTCTGTGTAAAATATTAAGAAATAAATACATAATAGTAGAATGTAGTGTTGCAGGGTATACTGGTACCAACGGTAGACCGCGGTACTAAAACACCACGGTACATATGATACCATAATGTTGGAGTACCGTAGTACTACAGTACCTCACGGCACCACTACTGTGGGATAAGTTCAAAGTCCAATCACAAGAGGGTGAGTGTCCATGCACCGTCCAATAACGGCGCGAGCTGGCCACCTGGCACTCAATATGCTGCTGCAGTGGTTTGTATCCAGTGACATGTCAGGTATTAGCTGAGCTGTTGAGTATCTTTAAGCAGTGAAAGTTATTATTTATTTATTTTTACTTGTAGGTTAGATTTGTTTATATATGCTACAGTGATGTGTTTTCCACAGAGCTCTGCATTTTACTCGCATTTGCGACTAAAAATAGTTTTGTGCGAGCAAAAGAAATCATTCAGGAGCAGCTGTGTGAGTACAGATTTCAATTCAATATCATTGATGTATTATAGAAAAGTGATTTATCTTTTTATAAATGACAAAAGGCACATCTGCCTCATTTTTGCTGTGGTATCCTGATACTACTCAGAACCATGATACTTTCATTGGTATCGTACCGTGGGTCCCAATTTTGGTACCGTGACAACAGTAGTAGAATGAATGCCATAAAGCTTTTTTTAATTATTATTATCCAGTGTTGACACAGATCAAGACACAGGTTAAAGTGCAGCCACATAATTTGGTAAAAAAGACATTTTAAAGGCTACAGTAGAATGCTTTTTAAACTCTGCTCCGTTTCCGTTTCGTTTGCCAGTAGCGTGCGTATGCGTAATGACGTGAGGTATTACGTGGTATTGGATTGGTCATGGGCTGTACTCGCTGATACCCGGGCCGATATCGCAATTTAGGCAGTATCGGAGGAATTTCCGATACTGGTATCGGTATTGGTACAACTCTAGGCAAAATGTAGACTTAACTCACTCTATGAACCATATTCCTACATAACACTGACCTCTGCACAAGACCACATACTGCTTGCTTACAGTGCTTACCTGTGATGTTTAAACAAGTAAAACGTGATTTATTAAAACAAAGATGTCTTTAACAGGTCTTAATGTGCACTAAATGTAACTTTGTGATACCTGTAGACACTCTGTACCTTTAGGCCACATTTAGAATAAGCTGCCCAGGGACTACTGATGAAAATAACTCATTAGTAGTAAATAAATGATTGAGTCACTTGTTGCTGGAAAAAAATCCTGTTTTGTTAGAAACTTCATAGAATGGCTTTTAATGTTTTCCTAGCTGTAGGGCCGCCCCTGTGCTATGGTGAAGGTTGGTTGTCTCCCACAAAAATCAACTGGAAAAAGGCAGCAAGGTGGACCACCACATACCTGAGTGAGTATACATTAGAAGTGCAGCAGTGTGATCGATAACTGATCAGTTAACTGTAGCATCTGTCTCCCAGTGGTTTCATCACAACAGGGCAGGCGCAGACAGATTTCTCATCAAGTCAGTAAAACAGTGAACTCCTAAATGGAAAGTGTTTTTCTTTAATTTGAATACCAGTCAAAAATACTGAACTGCAGGTGTAAGATTATACCTGTCCTAACTGATTATAATTGGCCTCTGAATAAACAGCAGAAGATGCACACACACTCTCTGGCTTTACTACCTTGCCCATGATTCATTCCTACAGATGAAGTTCATCCTCAGGTCACTAAAGAATGATCTTATCTTAATGATGACCTCATCTTAAAATCACTGCTGTAGTCACCATGAACGCACTTTTTGGGTATTAAGATGACATAAGGACAGACTGTAAACTGAGAATTTATAAGGGTATAATTTATTTTTAATTACAAATTGGGGCTTATATTAAAGCTAAATAGCAAATAATACAAAAGGTATTCTTAAAGCTGTCACTATATCCTGACAGCAGCGTGTGAGGTAGGTAGTCCAAAAAAATCATGCTCTTCTGTCTCCTGGGGCCTCAGTCACACAGGAAGTGTTTTGCAGGTTGCAAACACGAGGCGCACTGCACTGCCTTTTTATTTTAATTGAATGCCTTTTGTAAAAAAAAAAAAAAAATGCTTGTTGCGCCTTTTTATTGTTGCCAGGCAACCACCCCGTCACCTCCTCACCCTAACCTTCCCGAGTAATCAATCTACCATTTATTTTCATTTTGTTTTATTTATGTATCCTGCAGTAATCAGTGTGTAGCTGCTGCCATGTTGAGGCAGAGGGTTCTGTCTGTAGCTTTGGTTGAGGGTGAGAGGCTGTCAGCAGATAAACAGAGATCTGTGTGGGTACATGAGACCCTAAAAAAGAGGCTGGATCATGGGGAGTACCACCAGTTGGTCCAGGAGCTTCTCCTCCATCATGGACGTTTACAGTACTGCACTTATCTGCTGTTTTCTATTCAGATGGTGCTAACTGTGCTTTGTAAAGTCGTATAGCTCTGGGTATCCAGCAACCACTACCACCAGTTTCTCCTCCATTGTTTACCAACTGTAAACTTGTTGTCGTGACCACCACAGAAGCCCCGCCTCTCATCATCCAATTTCATATGGGGGAAAAAGGCAGAGATGACGTGGGGAGCTTTTCTGTCCCGAGTTTAATTTTTTTTTAACTCAAGTTCAGAGCGCTCTGGCAACAATGCTGGGCGTCCAGAGCGTAACGCAAAAACAGCGAGCAGAAAAGCTTAAGTCTTGTTAAAAACGATTTCCAAAAGCTGCTTCCAGCTGCTAAAATGTTCGCTGTGTGATCAGAACCATTTGCAAGAATCATGAAAAACAACCAATCAGAGCCAAGGAGTCTCTAACACAGCTGTCCGTCATGTCAGTTGCTGCTTGTGAGTTGCAGTCAAACTAGGCAGCGCTGATCAAATATGAAGTAAGATGTGTTACTGCACTGCCTGTGTCTCTCCTCCACTGTCAGAAACATATTGTAGTGTACTGTTTAGCTGTAAATTGAGTTTTGCTCCAGCTGCTGTGTGATGTGTCGTTTTATCTTGACTGTTTCCAACATGGCGGCCGGGTCACAAACTTTGTCATCTGACAACATTATGAGGAGAGTGATAGGCAATGCAATAAAAGAATCGTGATTCTAATTTGATCAGTTTGACTGCAGTTCATGAGCAGTGATTGACAGCTTCTCTCTCTGAAGGTGACCTGTCATTGGCCAACAGCTCCCCTCATGGGCTAGACATTGTGAAGCTTGAGGACAGAGCCCAGCAGAGGTAGTGCAGTCTACTGTTCTCTCAGTCCGCTTGAATTACAATATGTTCAAAGGTTATTGTAAGATTTTTTGCCCAGTGACGCCAGAAAGTCTACATAAAAGTATTCTTCACTTTCATACACCAGTGATATTGGGAGCAGATGATGAAAGTGGACCCATGATCTGTGCCTGATGCGCCTGTGACTGAGTGTCTGTATTTGACGTCAAAGCGAATCATAAAGGGGTCGATGCAGCTATCACAACAGCGCTTGTTATCAGAGTACACACGCAGATGAAAGAAAAGCGATTTCTCCGCTGTTTTCCTGCTTTGAAGACACTAAAACCTGCAGTAGCCCTCTTCAACACACACACACACACACACACACACACACACACACACGCACACACACACACACACACACACTGTATCTTTCACATATGATTGCATACAAACCAGTCCAGTATCACTAATCATCTCACTGATCAGTATCTTCAAAGTTAAATTTCGTTTCATCCTAAAAACGTCACTTGTGCCAAGTTCTTTATTCTCTTGTAACCTATTTTGGATGTTTTTCATTATTTAGAGTGGAGCTCAGTTTCGGGGCCCGTAGACATTTTTTTGTACCTGGGAGCAACATGAGCTGTCAGATATTGTTCAAAAGACAATGTGAGTATGAGACTTCTACAGAGACACCGCTGGTTGTCTGCTTGTGTTCGGAGATACAATGGTGCACCTCATGTTTTATTTAGCCGTGGATGTTGGTATGAAATGACAATATTTTCTGACATCAGTAGAAAGATGTATAGTGGTAGCTGTAGCCACTTTTTTTATGCTGCGACTTTTTACATGTAGTGAGTGTGTATTTATAGTACGTGTTGCCCTGGAGAAAGGCATCCCCCCTCAGTACTCATGAAGCTACACAGCACCGTAGTAAATATAACATAGCAAGACATGGGCTGGACATGTAAAGTTAATGACATGCCTACCCTGTCTGAGTTTCCAGCTGAGGTAGATGATGAGTTGCAGCAGCAGCAGACAGACAGACAGGAACAGCAGCAGGCCAAACAGCCAGAGAGGAAGAAAGCTGTCCGTCTCTCCGTGTGTCTGCGCGATGGTTCGTCGCAGGAGCAGAGCCAAGTCAGCCCAGGGGCCACTGAGCACCTCCATACTGCTCCTGCATGGGAGGATGCAAATGAAGAAGAGAAGAGGTCAAGCTTAATGTGATGATATGATACCCGAGGCACGATCAGGTAACGCCTCAGTAAGCATTCATTCAGTGGTGTGAAGGTCAGAGGACATCAAGGCACCAAAATTAAAACTGGGTTGAGAATGTCCTGCAGTAAGACTGTACGCAGTAAAACACAAGCAGACACTTGCTGCCTTTATTTTCAGTCATCTGCAGTAATTTGAGCATTGTAACAATGATTGTCAAATATGTACAAGAGTCACAGTGTGGCACACGTGGCCACTGTTCCTTTGAATCCATTAAGAGTCACAGTTACAAGTGAAAAGGGGAAATAATGTAGTAGTGTCACTTTACTGGGATACTTCACTGATTTTAAACCAGGTCTGTGTCACCGAGGGGATGGGACAGCGACGGCATGACCCCACCGTACTCTGCCATACTCTGCCTCTGATTGGCTTATCCTGATATTCTCACCCTAACCAACCTAACCAACGCAGCAGCAAGTACTAGCTAATCAGAGGGAGAGTAAGGGCAGGTCATGCCTCTGCTAATCTAGGGAACGTAAATGTGTGTGTGCAGATGAACGGTGTTTGGCTCCCCCCCTGCCAGGATTGACTGGAACTCACCGCCTGTGAGCAAAAATATTTTGGATGATGTGAGACGCTGATGGAGGGGTGATGAGATCTGGGAGCTGGCAGTAAGGGGGAAAGCCTGACACTGTTTTTCTGCCCACACTCTCCACATCACGGTGACACAGGCCTGGTTAAAAACCAGCCAAGTATCTCTTTATGTGGAGAAAAATCTGTGTCATCTTCATCATTAATCAGATTTTTTGTTTTCAGTGGTGATGACAGATATTTTTAATGTCCTTTAACATGTGGTGTGAGACCATTTAAAGGAGCTGTTAGTGACACTCAGAGTGTATCTGTGCTTCAATCAACCTAATCAGTCAAATTTTATTTGTCACATGGAAATAATACATGGTACAACTCCAGTTAAATGGGATCAGCTCCTTTAACTTGTGCACTGTGATTTGGTCCGTTTTTGCATCTTCTTACATCACTGGTTGTGGTTACATGATGGCTTCTCATTCAGAATGAAATAAATCTGAATGAAATCATTCTGAATTAAAGTCTTTCCAGGTAGTTTACATGAGAAATATTCATTCTGAATGAGGGTTTACACAGAGATCAGTTTAATCGCCTTTTAATCACGTTTATTCGGGTCTGCGCAAAGTCTGGGGCAGGGAAGGTTTCTGATTGGATAGGGGGCGGGGCGGATGTTACGTGTTTATGTTTACCAGAAGAAAACACTGTAGTCCTCGCTCCGGATAACAAGATGCTTGACGACGCCGTTCTTAGTGCCTTTTTCGGGCTTGTTTTGCTTATATTCTTGAAGCAGCAGTACGACAACAACCTTGTTCTGCTAATGCTTCGTCTGTTGAGGAGGAGAAGGGAGGTAGAAGGTCGAAGAAGGGAGATAGAAGACCGTGCTGTGGCGAATGGAAACCGGTGAGTGCAACGAGTCCGACTGCTCTATCTCAGCCCGTTGCTATGCGCGCTATATACGTCATGGCGCCAGAAGGGCAAGGAAACGAGCATGTGCAGAAAGACCGGAATGAACTTAAAGAGGAATGAGTGTATACAAGTGCGAGAAATTCTTTCATTCGGAATTAGAACAGAATATTCCAGCCCCTTACATCAGATTGAATTTTCAATGGCATTGGCCATTTTCATTCTGAATTAGGTGTTTACAAGATCACTGTTAATAGGAATGAACTTTAATTACGAATGAAAAGGGAATTAAGCTGTCCATGTAAACGCACGGATTGTCTGATACCTTATAATTGTTCATGACTCCTGGTTGTGGAATGATTTAACTACAGACACATCCCGACCTCAATAAGACGATCCGTCGCTCTTCCTAAACATGGCAGTGCCACACTGCAGTCGCCTCTGCATGGAGACATATTACAGCAGTTGTCCACAGCTGGACAACAAACCGACGTTCTTACAGACACACCAGTCCTTATTCACCATAAAGCATACTCCTCTCCTCTTCTTCAGAGGCTGAGCTAGGATTGTCTGCACACAGCTCTCAACATGGAGGTGGCTGAGCTTTCAGCTAGCAGCTAGCAGTGCTAACAGTGCTAACAGTGCTAACAATGGCAGTGTGCTAACAGTGTTAATGTGGCAGGGAGCCAGAGGGTTGGTGCTGCACCGTATGAGAACAGTGTACAGCGGCTGTGACTAGCTAGCCGGTAGGACTAACATGCATGCATCGCCAGACTGTTTACTACAACGAAGAACAGAGTAGCTTGGATTACAACACTCACAAAGGGGGGCGTGACTTCAGTCTCTGCTCAGGACTCCATGACTCCACTATATCTCAACATAGCTAACAGTGGTTTGCTGCTATAGTAATGCTCTTAATGTCACATACAGAACCTTTAAGGACTCACCTCTCATCATGCAGTTCAGTCTAGCAGTTGATTTTGAGTCAACATTTTTATCATGACATTCATTTCAACCATATAACCCAGCCCTAAGTCAAGCACTGAGGTAAAGCACTGCAGCAGAGGTCGTTGTAGATTTTGTTAACGGTAAAGTCGTATGTGTCATGTCCTTAAAGTTTTAATGGAACAGAAATAGCACACTCAGAAACACAGTCTTAAGTAACTAAAACTACAGCAGATGGACAGTTATTGGTATATTTCAGAAGATCTACTCACCGTCTTCAGGTTCCCTGGAGAGGCAAGTTTAAATGGATGTAGGTAGGAGTGACCTCCAGATGGCTGCCAAATATGATCAGTGAGCTAATGCACAGTTGTCATGACAGCTGTCTGTGCTGATGTGTATCTTCTTCACCAGCCAGGAATTAAATGGAAGTCAAAGGTGACGTTTTCCCGACGGCTGTCACATAACTTTAAGACTTAAAAGCTTTAAAGTTCAGTCAGCGTCAGTGTGTGACATCAGGTTTCACTGCTGAAGGTAATAATCCAAAGAATAATTCCTCATGGAGTAAAGATGGCTGCTTCAGTCCAGAGGTAACGGCTGTGATTCGATTAATGCTCTCGTCTTTTATGACTGTCTGTCTTCTTTATCTGTCTCTTCAGCTCTCCCTCATTGGCAGGAACCTCTGTTGTTGTTGATGATGTGAACTTTGCACTCTTTCAACAGTCAAACCTTGTGATTGCTAAGAAGATTAGCAATACTGGCCAGTTCAGTGTCTGTGTGTGTGTGTGTGTCTGTAAGTGTGTGTGAGATACAGTACAGAGGTTTGGAGTGTAGTGCTGGGGTTTACTGCAGGTTTCAGTTTACTCAAAGAACAAAACAAACTGATACTGTTTTGCCCACTGTGTGTGTGTGTGTGTGTGTGTGTGTGTGTGTGTGTGCATTGGGACCTCCAGTAATGCTATGATCGTTGAACTTTAGACCTTTGTGCTCATTGTGTCATGAAACACACACTACTCACTGACACACACAAACACACTTTTTCCTGCTCTGATTGGAAGTCGTCGTCTCTCCCTCTTTTCTTCTGTCTATTCTCTTTCTTTGCTTTGTTTATCTTCACCAACAGACACTGATACTTCTTGATCGGTGGCGGTATTGATTACTGTAAAACACTACTGATAGCATCAGCCGTGACTGTATTGTTACAACAACATGAGGAGAAACAACAGTCAGTATGATAATCAAGCTTAAATCCACACTGCAGTGTGATACCCAAGGATGAAAGGACACACACATCTTTTAGTTTGATAAACACATGACTTAAAATGTGGGTGGCAATATGTTTAATGCATGCAGATATTAGGTGGCTTCATCACCACATATTAAACCTCGAACTGAAGAAAGGATGTTGGACTGTAAGAGCTGATTCTCAGGATGGACATTTGCCCCAGTACATTAGTCACAATGCATTTGACAGGACCCCAGTGTGTGTTAACTGCACTTAATTTCCTTGAAGGGAAATTTCAGTTTATTTCAACCTGTCTCCTATCGTCCTAAATTTGTTTCAAGTGACTAGTGACATAAAAATAATAGTTAGCATGTTAGCTGTTAGCCTAGATACAGCCGGGGCGCATAGTAGCGTCAGACCTGTTAAAACATAAGTGAACGGGCAACCTTCAAGTGCAAAGTTAGTCCACTAAACAAGCTTTTTTTTCCACAAAGACCACCTCATATCGTTAGGATAAATGTCAGAGAACATATAGAAAACGACATGTAAACGTGTTGTCTTACCTTACCGGTGTGCTGCCATGTTTGTTTACCATCTAGCTCTGCTTTCCAAAGCGCGGCCGAAACATCGTGAGAACAAGCAGCGATTTCATAGCGTGCCTGAAATCTCGCGAGAACAAGCAGCAACAGCTGGAAGGCAGAACCGGACAGTAGCCTGAAAACTTCATTCATTTATTTTATGAAAGATTTACAGAATAATGGCTGACTTTTTGCCAGACTTCAACTTTGTGGAGGAGGAATTTGATTTTGCAGAGTTTGATGGCCGCCCTTATTTATTTGAGCCAGAATACACTGACGAAGAGCTTCGTGAAATTGAAGAACGGAGGAGGAGAGAGAGAGAGAGGTGCAACAGGTAGAGGACGAGAGAGGAGGAATGGCTGCTGCAAGGCTGCGTAGCTCTGGAGATTGGTGGTGTACCTGTGAATGCTGTGCCCCAGTGCCCACAGAAGAGGAATGCCTCTGTTGCAAGGAATGGGACCGGTTGCAGCCTTATTTTCAAGGTCTGGATATGACCGAGGACGAGACACCTCCACCTGGAGTAGTATCCAGCTGGGCTTTATCTAGAGCTCACCAGATATATTTTGGCCGCGCTTTGGAAAGCAGAGCTAGATGGTAAACAACAAACATGGCAGCACACCGGTAAGGTAAGACAACACGTTTACATGTCGTTTTCTATATGTTCTCTGACATTTATCCTAACGATATGAGGCGGTCTTTGTGGAAAAAAAGCTTGTTTAGTGGACTAACTTTGCACTTGAAGGTTGCCCGTTCACTTACGTTTTAACAGGTCTGACGCTACTATGCGCCCCGGCTGTATCTAGGCTAACGGCTAACATGCTAACTATTATTTTTATGTCACTAGTCACTTGAAACAAATTTAGGACGATAGGAGACAGGTTGAAATAAACCGAAATTTCCCTTTAAGGTCAGAGGCCCCACCATGAATTGGACATGGCTCTGACTTGTCGAAGCATGGACACAGGACCTGTGGGGGTGTCTCGTGGTGTCTGGCGCCAGGCGTGGACCCTTTGAATCCTGTGGGTTTGAGGCGGGATACTGGCATAACCCATGGATTCTTGATTAAATTGGGATCTGGAGACTTTGGAGGCCAGGCTGACACATTGAGCTTTTTGTCATATTCCTCGTACATTCCCAACAGTTTTTCCAGTGTAGCATGGCACATTGTCCGCCTGGGGGCCACTGCTATTGAGGAGTGCTGTTGCTATGAGGGGAGAACACTTAGTCTACAGTGATGTTTGTGTGGGTGGTGAGTGTCAAGTGGCATCCACATGAATGCTCAAACCCAAGGATCCCAGTGGAGCATTGCATTGTAATGAGATGATCAAAGTTATTTTCTTCTGTCAGTGGCTTTAATGTTTTAACTGACATGTCATCTTTTAAGTTGGTAAGACAAACCTGTGCGCTAACTGTTGCTTATTTTCCTCATCCAACAGACATGGAGCAACATCAGCATTCAGTTGGAGTCGTGTTTCTGACGCCCTGGTGAATGTAAGTCCAATATTTACTCTCCTTTGAGCTTCATTTTGGTTTCTACCAACTTCTCTTGAGCTGCTAAATGCTCCACAATGAGCTGAAGGATGCTGTAAAGCTCAGCAGAGTCAGACGATAATTCTCTGTGGGCTCCACATATGGTCATACAGTTACACATAACGTAGTGCACCACTGAGCTAGCTGATGTTTCAGCTCAGCTGAGGAGGATGCCATTAATGTTTGTATCTTGTGTGTCACACGCATAAGCCTCTCATCCATTGGTAGACGCACATCTCCTCCTTAATGGTGATATGGCTGGCAGGTGTAGTTTGGTACAAAGGAAATAGTTCCTACATGAAACTGCTCACAACAAGGTCTGTGGATTATCTTGAGTACCATGGTCATGATTTCTGTAAAGAGACATTGCTGTTGAAATCATCTGGATTGATAAGCACCATAGGTAAGAGGAGGAATATATATTACTGATTCTGGGGTGAACTGTCCCTTTAAGAAAGAAAACATTGCTAAGTCTCTTTATTCACAAGTGGTCAAACCAGATGTTTTCACCTGCACTTTTATTTGACCCCGTCTTAACAGGCTAACAAGCTGGCAGTAAACCAAAATCAAGTTGTTTGCTCTGAAGTCCCTGAGAACATCAAGAGACTCTTGTTTTATATTTGCAACCAACGCATCTTTGTTCTCACTTAGAGAAGCAGCCAGTATCCCTGCGTGCCCTCAGTGCAGTCTGACTGTCACTCACTCAGATGTGAGCATCAGTACTGTTGTCATGTGGAGACTCATTTAAACACAGTATTCTTCTCTCGGGGGAGAGAAAGCAGGCATTAGGTGATAAAATCACAGGCGTAATTCGGCTCTGGCTGGTGAGAACTGCTGGATAATTGACTGATGCTGTCATCAACATCAATAGAATTGATCAGCTTTGTTGTTTCTGTGATTGATCAGGAGATAATGGGTTTATTTTGGGAGAAACAGTGTAGGTGTGTTTTGGTCTTTCTTTATGTTTATGTGCTGTTGTCTGATTGACTGGGGCATAATGGAGCTATTTCTGGAGAATGCAAACACACCCATCACTGTGTGTGCGTGTGTTTCGGCTTTATGTTCAAAGAAATAATTAGCTAGGGATCCATATTCTTCTGTGTGTGTGTGTGTGTGTGTGTGTGTGTGTGTGCGCGCGTGTGCTCTCATATTGATCAGTTTGTGGAGGCTTGTGAGAGAGAGACAGAGAGGCGTCTTTGAAGTTGTCATAACATCCAAGTTTTTTGTGTGTTTTTATGTTTTGGTTTGATAAGTTTTATTTTCTTGATTTAGTTGACTTAATATTGCAAATTGGCATTTTTAATTAAATCAACAGAGTGAGAAATTAAAACAGAGAAAATGATTAAGAAACACTGTTCATTATTTATTAAACATGACTGATGAAACATTTAAGTGGCTTTTGTGAAAAGAGGAAGTGAAACTCTAGTTTGAAATCTCTTGGAAAATCTCCTCTGAGCAGCCATAACTCTGGCTAAATGTTTCCTCCAGATCAGATTAGACTTATTCCCAGACGCCTGGGAGGAATTTGGATCATTTTGCAAGCAACGAAATAGAAAGCAATGGGTTTGTTTTTGGTTTCTTTGCAGCACCAGTGTTTCTGTCAGCCTGACAAGCCTATCAGTCACTTTGCTTCTCCCTCGTTATCTCTCATTTTCTCATGTGAACTGTGACTTCCAGAGCACTCATGGATACAGCCCAGCAGTCAGAAGAAAATGTTGGCCTTGAACATATCTGCAAATCACGAATATGTTACATTTGCACGTTTAATGCGTATCATAACAACATCTACAGTGACATATGATATAAGCTGACTGTCATCGGGAGGTAAAGGGGATGATGGACGGCATGTTACCTGAACGATACGGCTGCTAAGCTGCATACTGCAGACAATAGTTCTTGACCAACAAACAACAACACTGGTTGTTATTTAGTGAGTCATTGTTGTGTTTCCATCAACTTTTTAGGGTCCAGTCGTGGGTGTTTTGTTGCAACCCCTTGGTGTGTTTCCATTGGCTTTATAGGTTCCAATCATAGTTGCTTTTGTAGCGACAAGACATGTTTCCATCAACTTTTTAGGCTCCAGTCATGTGTGTTTTTGTAGCGACCTGATGGGATGTTTCAATCATCTTTTTAGGTTCCAGTTTTAGGTTTTTTTTTTGTTTTTTGTTTTTAAAGATATTTTGGGGGGCATTTTAAGCCTTTATTTGATTGGACAGACAAGTGTGAAAGGGGGAGAGAGAGAGGGAGTGACATGCAGCAAGGGGCCACAGGCTGGAGTCGAACCCGGGCCGCTGTGGCAACAGCCTTGTACATGGGGTGCCTGCTCTACCACTAAGCCACCAACGCCCCAGTTGTGAGTGTTTTTACAGCGACCTGACGTGTTTCTGTTGGCCTGTTAGGCTCCAGTTGAGTATGTTTTGTAGTGAGCCATTGGTGTGTTTCCGTCGGCTCTTCAGGCTCCAGTAGTGGTTGATTCTGTAGCGATCTAATGGAGTGTATCTAGGGATGCACTGATCCACATTTTTCACTTCCGATCCGATCCCGATACCTGAATTTAGATATCTGCCGATACCGTTACTATTCCCATATCAGTGCTCTGTTTGCTTTAATATTATTATCATTATTGTTGATTTTATATGAGGCTGTAATAAACTCCTCTCTACAGGCAAGTATGATATGTACGTATGTATGCATGTATGTCCCAAAAGGCAACTTGAAGTAAGTACAAGGTCAGAAAAGCAGGAAATCCTGTTAACAGGAAAAATCCCATCCTGAAAACAAATATGCAGCTGTAAGGGTTTCAAACTTATCAATATTTATTAAATTCCAAGACAGTGTTAAACTACTAGTGCAATATACACGACCAAAAAACAAAAATATACCTGTCATATTAATCTGAGCAGCACAGATACAAATCAAGTAGACACTACTATGTAGTAGTGTTGTCACGGTACCAAAATTGGGACCCACGGTATGATACCAATGAAAGTATCATGGTTCTGAGTAGTATCAGGATACCACAGCGAAAATGAGGCAGATGTGCCTTTTGTCATTTATAAAAAGATAAATCACTTTTCTATAATACATCAATGATATTTCAATGGAATAAATTACTTATTGACTTATTCATACTTCAAAAACAGCATCAGTAAGTGATGAACATAGGGGGGATCAAAATAAAATAAATAAATAAAATAAGAATCAACCAGCCACCCTCCTCCCCTGACAAGTAAAGAACAGTCCCTTCATAAGGAAAGAACAGTCCCTAAAGTGCGGTGAGGTTTGTGGGCCGTTACCTGCCACAAAGAGAGAAATGTGAACGGCTCGTTTCTCCTCTGACACGTCACATACCTGTGTGCCGCCACGGCTCGGCTGTTCAGGTACTTCTGGGCAGTCATGACACCAACGAAGACTTATTGGTCCTGGAGCTGGACTTCTCTGTTGCTGGTAAGCCGTTATCTTGCGCCGCGGAGCACTATGGCCGCCGTATTCCTGTCTGTGATCCCCGTTCAACCCACAACCGGCAGGATTCGCCTTTCGTTTCTGCTGCTGGTTGAAATCTGTACTCACACAGCTGCTCCTGAATGGTTTCTTTTGCTCGCACAAAACTATTTTTTGTGGCAAATGCGAGTAAAATGCAGAGCTCTGTGGAAAACACATCACTGTAGCATATATAAACAAATCTAGCCTCCAAGTAAAAATAAATAAATAATAACTTTCACTGTTCAAAGATACTCAGTAGCTCAGCTAATACCTGACATGTCACTGGATACAAACCACTGCAGCAGCATATTGAGTGCCAGGTGGCCAGCGCACCCTCTTGTGATTGGACTTTGAACTTATCCCACAGTAGTGGTGCCGTGAGGTACTGTAGTACTGCAGTACTCCAACATTATGGTATCATATGTACCGTGGTGTTTTAGTACCGCGGTCTACCGTTGGCACCAGTATACCCTGCAACACTACTATGTAGCATTCATCATATCATTCCAGCAGACAACATGAAATACATACTTTACATACTGGATTGGATCAGCTCCATCCCCAGGTGTATCCATTGGCTTTTTAAGCTCCAGTCATGGGTGTTTTTGCAGTGACCCGATGTGTTTCCAGCAGGTTTTTAGGCTCAAATTGTGGGTGTTTGCTGGTGATGCAATGGCGGGGATAGTGCCATGAAGAGCAACTTTTTACAGAGCAATTGCAGCCAGGATTGTGCCCCCTCCATATAAGGCGTTTCATTTCCTGACCATAGCCAAGTAGTTTTTGTGCCTAAACATAGCCACATGTTCACCAAAGCGTTGGTGAAAGTTTCCATTACAAAATAACATGCAAATGTAACACATTCTTGGTTCGCAGAGACGTTCAATGCCAACATTTTTTCTGGTGATTAGGCTGCATAGATGTTAGTAGGATTTGCAGTGCATGTATAGACGCACAAACAGGACCATACTTGGGTCACTTATGTACTGATAAGCTTTTGCAAAACAAAATGAGTCAATAAAAGCAGAAAGGAAGCTGCTGCATCTGTGAAGGATGAAGATTTGGGAATAGTGGTGGGGAGGTAGGACAGAGTTTGTCCTCACTGTTGATCTCGACACTTTGGGACTTTTATCTCATCATACTTTGATGTCAGCCTGCTGTGTGTTCTCCAGGTGCTCATGTTTTTGTTTGCAACACTGACAATCAGAAATTCTCCCATGTCTTTCTGTCTGTCTGCTGGTATGGTTACGAGGCAGCGGCATACACTTTGATAAGTGTAGTTGTTTCTGTGTGTGTGTGTGTGTGTGTGTGTGTGTGTGGTCTGATTTGTGGGTGGTTGTCTGTGTACGTCGTCAGCACTGTGGGAAAGGATTCTGTGTTTCATTGATTGTACAGTGAGATGAATCCTCAACTATCTGTCTCTCTCTCGTGGCACCAATTGGTAGGAATAATAATTGGTAGGAAACAGAAAATAAAAAACT